GCTAATTGAAATACACTGGGCTCTATTGCCAGAATTTTTTGTGTTATTTCCAGTGTTATAAAATGGCTTGTGTTAAGTTGTTTTATTTAGAATATAAGAGTTTATGATTTCTTCTCTCTCAACCTCTCTCTGGTTGTTTCTCATTCTCCCCACTCCCTCTCTTTCCATCTCTCCCCTGACAGCAGAGGTGAAGTGGGATAAGGGGAACCTTCAGGAAGCAGTCCCTGAGCACTAACTAAGAGCTGATGTGCTGCCCAGGCCTCTCTGTGCTGCCAGGTTCTGGTTAAGCTGAAGGCACTGGTGAACATTGTTGTTTATCACACTCTAAAATTACTACTTGCCTAATCTAAAGCAACGTGAAATATCTGCAATGATATAATTAATCCAGGAATTTCCTGGTGTCAAATGTAGAACAAAAAGCAATCAAAAAAAATTTGTGTGTGTTCATACTTTAACTGGCCAATTTGGGCCCCCAAAATCATTTTGGGGGTGAGAATTACCGGCTGAGGAGACCCACTGGACCACATCAACTACTAACTGACAAATTACTACTTTACTTTCTGAAGTATAAGCAAAGACTCTGGCACACCACTTCTTTTGAGAAGCAGTTCATCAGTAGCCTACAGGTTGGATTTCTTCTGTCCATAAAAATGTAGTGAAATTTCATAAAGAGTTTCATTTGAAAAGCAGAATAGTTCCTTCCCGCCTCTTAGAGCTAAGGCACAGAGCTAAGTCACAACTAAACTAACGCAGGCGGCCAGCCCCTTCAGAGGATCAGAAGAGCCTGCTCTACTCTCAGCCCCTTCAAAACACCCCAACAATCTGAGCAGAGTTTACATGGGGAAAGCTAACGTGGACAGTTCTGATTTAAGCTTCGATAGAAACTCCTTATTTTAGTGAAACCAATCCCACCTGAGAACTGACCACATTCTTAGTGATGCCTGATCCAAAGAAACCTGTGTTTGCCTGGTTTGGCTCATTGGTTGTTAACCAAACATGGCTGTAAAAGAGCACCATAATCGCAAAGCTGGTGCCCAAGCTTCCCCACTCCCAAGCTCTGAGAATCCTAAGACGCCAAATATTGCAAGTGGACCAACCCATTGCTAGCCAAGAGACAAAAGCTTAGAGGCAATCAACCCCAGGGCGCTGATTTTCTTTGCTGTCAAACTGCTTGGCCCTCTGTGTCTACCGATCAATAGCTAGAGGGTGGTTTTCTTACACTTTGGTCAGTTTTCCTTCTGGTTTTAAAAATAAATTTTGTTGTTGTTTTATATTAAAGTGGTACAGAGATTGGAGTAATAGCTATAAAGAGAAAACAAGCTTGTGATACCTTAGCAGAGTATAGGGACATTTATTATTAAAATAGAAAATAGAGAGAAAAACATTTCGCTTCTCTATTCCTTTCTTTGTATCAAAGACCAAGGTGTTTAATGAGCCATTAGAATAAGATGAGGTCTATGCTGTGGTTTTCTATTACTGTCCTTGCTTGTGGTTGTGTGTTACACCTCATCATCATTGGACTAGTTTTAGGTGGATGTGACATCATTTAAATGAAGTGAAAAGAAAAAACTCAAAGGAGTAGAAAAATTATTTTGTAATTGCATTTTTTTTTTCATCAGAAAATGGCCTGGGATCAGTCCAACAGAGCATTAACTATGAAATAACCACAAAGCAGCCTCCTTAGAACTATAGATGGAAATTAGCATACTTTAGAAATTAAGAACTTGAGTGACTGCTTGAGTGACAAAAGCTTGGAGGCAATCAACCCCTTAATCCTGGTGAAGCAGCCCAAACATCCAAGAAGTTAGAAATTATTCTACTCTACTGTGCTCCCATTAAGTAGTGTTTTTGGAGGAGAGCACGTTGCTCAGAAAGACAGGATTGGGCTTGTGCCTGGGCATGTAATTTTCTTTCCCTACTGTTAGTTATGCTTTTTAAGTCCATCGGCACTTAAAATGTTTAAAAAGGAAGTCTTGTGGAAATACTGTAAATCCCACAGGATGATCCCAGTCTAGGTTGGTGCCTCAACCCCTGGTTTTCCATTTGATAACCCACTTACAGCAAGTTTCCTGTCACATTTAGTTTAAAGGAATCCATCTCCCAACACATTCCTGCCACTTAGAGACTACCAGTCTGGGAAAATTTTGGCAAAGTCAACAAGTTCCATCTTGTACATTTCAGGCCCAAGAAATCATTCTGTTTGGCCATGGGACGCCCATTGGAAGGGCTTCGGGCTGAGAGAGAGGCAAGGGCCCATCCTGCACCCACCTAGGCCACATTCTACCCCAGCTCTAGGCAAGGAATGAAGCATCGTGGGAAAAGTCCCAGGTGGATCTGAGAATCCACAGAAGGGCTTTTTGTAGGTATGTGCCCTCCCACCCCAGACTCTGAAGAAGGGCATCTGATTTCTTAGCACGATGTCTCTGGAAGTTAGGAAACTGTTGGCTTTCTGCTGCAGATCGCAGGGTTCCCTAATTAGGATTTAAGAAAAAGACGGAGGGGTGGGGAAAGTCTGTTATTTTTCTGGGTATAGAAACAACAAGAAAACACTTGCCTGCTTTGCTACTTAGACACTTCAACTCTTACCAAAAGGTCATCAGCCTGTCCTGGCCGGTTTGGCTCAGTGGATAGAGCATCGGCCTCCAGACTGAAGGGTCCCAGGTTAGATTCGAGTCAAGGGCATGTACCTTGGTTGTGGGCACATCCCCAGTAGGGGGTGTGCAGGAGACAACTGGTCGATGTTTCTAACTCTCTATCCCTCTCCCTTCCTCTCTGAAATAAATAAATAAATAAAATATATTTTTTAAAGTTTTTTTTTTTAAAGGGCATCAGCCTGCTTTGATGGCCACAAGTGGAATAAACCCATCCCATGCCAAAGTTATAGTTGCTGGCAGCAACTTTCATTAAAGGATCCAAACAAACAATCATTTGTGGGAAATAAAAGTTTCCATGGAGTGTAATAAACAGTTCCTTTCAGGATAATGTTTCCTATGGATTCAGGTGCCATCCTAGGCGCACCCATCGGCAGCCAGGTGCATTTGAATGTTTAATCTTCAAAATGGTTCACAGCTAATACCCCCCCCCCTTTTTTTTTTAAGTGGAGAGGGGCTTCAGAGGAACCAAAGCAATTAATGCTTAAACAAAGGATTTCAAAGAGGATTTCCAGTTATATGTAGGTTTGCATGATAAAATCATGCAGGTTGTTGCTGGAATGCAGAGAGTCACAGGCCAGAGAGGCTGGATTCCCTTGTTAAACTGTTTATGGGCTCCTCCTCTAGGCTTTGGGGCACATACCTACAGAGAGGCCTTCTGTGGCTTCTCAGATCCACCCAGGAGTTTTTCCATGATGCTTCATTCCTTGCCTACAGCTGCATTTAAAAAACTTCGATGAGCAAGAAGTTGGCACATTCAACCCAGCCCTGAAGCTAGCTGTGACGATCTTGGTTAACTCTACCAGGTGGTTGCATGCAGTCTTGCTTTTCAAGGTGGGAAGTCACTCAGGGTTAGTGATGACTTCCATGGGTCCTAGACACTTTGCCTTCGGGACCCCTTCCTCCATTAAAAAAGTAAAACATCCTTTAAAAAAATGTATTTATTTTATAACTGCATTGGAATAAGGTAATCCAGGTTGGAGTGTGTCCATTTTTTTCCTTCTGGTTCTAAAAAGAAGTTAAAATAGTTTTTTGGGCATGTAAAAGTATGATGGTATTAGGTACTAACATTACCAGGCAAGAAAAAAAGCTTGAAAGCAGAGATCTTCAAGTAAGGGGTGTCCTGGGCAGAAGTGGGTTGTCTCAGAATTCTATTAGAATCCAATTTGAACTTTATCCAAAAAATAACCTGGGAGGAAGGACAGGTTGGGAGTGTAGGGGAAGAAGACCAAAGGGAAAGCCAGATTTCAAGTTTCTCCAGGACCTGAAACTGGGATCTACAGTCACACGAGCTCAGTTGGGCTATATAATCCTGCATGTTTAGGCCTGAGCCCCACCCCAGCCCAGCCCTTGTTGTCAGCCCCACCTTATCCCATCCACACTCTAGGACACAATGGACAAGATCTCAATGATTTTCCTTTCCAGAAGCAGAGTAATCATGAAGGGGGAGCATAGCTAGCATGTATGAAAATTTTATATTCTTACATCTTTCAATAGATTTTACACATTTTCTTCATATTATTTTTCTAGTTATGTCTGTAAAAAAGCACTGTAGGGCTAATTTGTCATAAAGAGAAAGTTTCAAATTGTTAACAGTGTAGTTCCATACAAGTATGACCATTATCATGATTATTATCCTGATTTCAATCCATCAAACATCATTCTCATACCTGAACTCTAAATAATAAGGCATAAATGTCTTATATTCATAGAACTCCATATAGAAGATTGAACATTATATGATACATCAAAATGAGTTACTAGCTGAAAGTACTAAGTGCTTTGACAGATAGATATCCTTCAGCTATTTGTTACTTTGACAAAGCGTGGAAGTATTCTAGTCAGAGGTCTGGGCAGCACATCATCTATGTATTAATGCCCAGCAGGGGGCAGGCAGCCTGCTCATTTAGATTCTGAAAAATAAGATCTCAGTACAAGGAATAGAATCAAAATTGAAACTATTAAATTGCTATTATAAATGATACAAGAATGACAAGGGATGCCTCATAAAAAATGTGCACGTGAAAGAATTATGCTTTGAATTCCAGGAATCGAGTTTTAGGTTCTCAGCTTGAATAGCAGGGACCTATGATTAGAAAAAGTAATAGTAAGCCTGACTGGCATGGATCCATGGTTGAGCATTGACCTATGAATCAAGAGGTCACGGTTCAATATCCAGTCAGGACACATGCCTGGGTCTCGGGGGTCGATCCTCAGTAGGGGATGTGCAGGAGGCAGCTGGTCAATTATTTTCTTGCATCATTGATGTTTCTATTTCTCTCGTCCTAACTCTTTGAAATCAATAAAAAATATACTTGGTTTCTGGCTTTTTCCACAGGTGGCTATGGTATGGATGTGACCAAGAAAAGCAAACGAGATGGCACCGAAGTCACTGAAAGAAGTAAGAGCATGATATATATGCCATTACCAAAGTGATTAAAACTTGGAAAGAGTAAATAATTCATCCCTAGTTCCACCATTAACTACTATATCATTTTTTTCTTTTTTGTTTTGTTTTTGTATTTAGGGTGTGGGGTTTTTTGTTTGTTTGTTTGTTTGTTTTTGTTTGTTTTGGGGGTTTTTTTTTTGCTTTTTAAAGAAACTATCATTTTAAAGGTGTTTCTAAAATATACATATATTCCTTCCCGTGAAATTCCTTTAGTTTATTTTTATTTTAACATACTTGTAATAAAAAATGTGTTCTGCTTTTTCTTCAAAGATGAAAACTGCCATTTTGATGAATAATTTTTATAATCAGCATTTTTAATGGTTGCATAACATTCTGTTGAATAAATTTGCTATCTGTGGAACTGAGTTTAATGCACTGAGCCTACGAAAGATGAGACCTTGCTAGACTACAGGGATTTCAGTGCCTTACATAAGAGCTGACCTTTTCCTTGTCTTTTCCTAGTTATCACCGAAACAGTGACTACAAGACTCACATCCTTACCACCAAGTAAGTGACTGTCTCCAGAGCTACTTCTCAGTGAGCCATGTGTGAAGGGCCCTGCATCTGACCTTTCCCAGCAGCCCTCACGCTCCAGTAGAGCAAATCCAAAATACCTGAAATCTCTTTTTCCTTTATAGTTATATTGACATCAATTCGTATCCATAAAATTCACTAGTTTGGGGTGTATAATTCAATGGTCGTTAGTATATTTAGAGTTGTGCAGCTATTTCAACAATCAAATCTTAAAACATTTCCATCCTGCCCAAAGGAAACCTCATGGCAATTTGTAGCCGCTCCCCATCCTCTGTCCAGTTCCTGAAAACCACAAACCTACTTTCAGTCTCTATAGAATCGCCTGATCTGGAAACTGAAATGTTGACAATGCTGGTGGGGGGTGAAGGTGGGGGAAGAGCTGACTGGGAGAGACTGAGTTATTATCAACATGTTATTATCCCACCTGAGCATGGGGTGGGAGCAGGGAACCACCAGGGAGGTTTCTGTTTGAGTCTACATTTTCCTCGGGAGGTCGTTATGTGTAGTGGATGCTGAAATGGAGGTCTGAGCCCTCAAGTTAGTCCTGCCCTTCCCAGGAAGCCTGGCACCCAGAGGCAGAGGAGGGGTGTGGAAATCCACCCATCAACATGGGAGTTTGGAGTATGATGGGCTGCCGGATGGGAAACTAGCAACACAGAGCTGTTACCACTCCCTCCAACAATTCTAGGGGCTGCATGCCTGCGGCACTGAACAGGACTTTGAAAAAAGCAAGCCCAGCCCAGATCTTGGCCTCCAGGAGCTTTGTCATCATTCGCTACCTTTTCTAATATTTAAATTTTCCTAATAAACGACTTGCTATGCTCCACCCAGAAGGCGTTCCTTTTAAATCGGGTGGAATATTTGCTTTTAACATTTGTATCAGGAACAAATGGAATGAGAGCCCGGCAGCTTGCACTCTAGATGGGAAAGGGAGCCCAAACCAAGAGGGTCATGGCTGAGAAGCTAGGGGAGGCTTCCAAGGGGCAAAGGATGAGGGACCCTCTGGGGTGACTTCACCCATAAATGACTGCCTGCTCCTTGTTCCTGCAGAAGGGGGGACCACCAATGGCTATGCTAAAACGGGCTCCCTCGGTGGAGGGAGCCGACTGGAGAAACAGAGCCTGACCCATGGCAGCAGCGGCTACATAAACTCAAGTAAGTGCCTGCTGGTGGGGGGTGAAGGTGGGGGAAGAGCTGACTAGGAGAGACTGAGTCCTGCAAGGAGGGGAGCCAAACTGCCATCCATCCAAATGACCCAAAGAGCATGTAAATGACACCGAACCCAGAAAAAGTGAGATTTTCACATCATCTGCATTTGGGGCCCACCTTCATTACTTCCCTAATATAAAGAACAATGATTAATTAAGGAGGCTTCATGGGGAGGTGGCTCCTTCCCCCCAATCTCTCTTTAAGCCATCTCCTTTAGAGAAGGGTGTGCGCAGCTGAAGGTTTACAATTTGAATTAACAACAACCACTAAAGAAACAGAAGGACTGGGTCACTGTGCGCAGGGAATCTGGTCCCACACCCCGCGAGTTTCCACTGGGCAAGCACCCACCATTGGCCCATTGTTCCTCGTGAACCGCTCTTTCATGGTAGCTTTCAAACTAAGCAAAACAGAACAAGGCAAAGGGGAAAGAAAGCACACACATAGCCCACCAATTCATTTTTAAAATCTTGGAGTGACACTGAAAAAGAAGGCCCAAGCCTGGCCGGAGTTGCTCAGTGGTTGGGCATCGACCTATGAACCAGGAGGTCGAAGTTTGATTCCCAGTCAGGGGGCATGCCTGGGGTGCTCAATCACCAGTAGGTGGTCTGCAGGGGCAGCTGAACAATAATTCTCATCATTGATGTTTCTATCTCCCTCTTCCTTCCTCTCTGAAATCAATTAAAAATGTATTATTTTTTTTTTTAAGACCCAAGTCAGGCAAATGGTCAGGCTGGCCAAGAGAAGTTCCTCATCTGTTGAGGAACCTTCCACATGGAATTATGTTCTAGTCTCTCCAGCCATGAGCTCAGAGTAGTGCCAGGTCTTCAAGATCAATGCTGCCAAAGCCCCTCCATTTCCATACACTGCAGCTATGTGCTACCAATCAAGGACCCCCAGCTTGGGGAGGAAGGGCAGGAACAATGACGCTGCCCCCATTTCTGAGCACCCGAGGGAATGTGGGGTGGAGCCTTTCAGTGCTCTGTCCTCTGGCCGCTCCGTGGAGCCTCTTTCATTAAGAGCAGCGTGGTGTGCGCAGATAAGATAACTGGCTGCCAATCTGCGGAGATGCTACGAGGACTGACACCCTTTCTGGTTTGCAGGTGGAAGCACCCGGGGCAATGCCTCCACCTCCAGTTACAGGAGGGCTCATTCACCTGCCTCCACTCTGCCCAACTCACCAGGCTCAACCTTTGAAAGGAAAACTCACATCACCCGCCATGGAACATACGAAGGTATGAGAGAGAGAGAAAACCACTCTCCTCCCAGTAACCTCACTCGTCCTTCGAAGAACTGGCACCTGTATTCACCTGGGCCTGCCCTGCCTCCTCACCTTTCTCTCCACTCTTCCTTCATTTCTTTAAGGACTGACGTTACCCCTTCGTTCATTCATTCGTTTAGTCAGTTTCTCATGTGGTATTTTATCACATATCTACCATGTGTTTGACACCATGCAGAATGCTTTGAGAATGCACTTAAATGAATCGGACGCTTAAATGGATCTTGTCTTCAAGGAATCTATAGTCTAATAGACAAGACGACAGGTAAAAACCGTAATACAAAGTACAAGGCAGTTATCATTTCAAGCTGAGTCTCCAGGAAAGTGTCTGTAGGGAAGGGGCCTGTGAGCTGGGCCTTCGTGATGTGTAAGAGTTTGATGTCCGGAGGTGGAGAGATGGGTGCTCCAGGCTGAGGGAGCAGCAGCACAGCAAGGACAGGCAGTAGAGTCAGGCCCGTGGTGCTTAGGTAAGAGGGAGGGCTTGAGGGACTCAGCGCCAGTGCCAGGCTAAGATGTTTGGACTTTATTCTGTATATAGTGAGAAGCCACAGAGACTTTTGAGCAAAAGAGTTGAACATATTTGAGGTCCAGGACTAGTGTTTTGAAAGCCACATGCAGGAAAAATAGGGAGGAAATATGTTGAACATGGTAACGTGTTAAACTGTGCTCAGTAGTCCAGGGAAGGGAAAGAGCTTGGCTGGGACTAGGGCGGTGGCAGTGGGAGACGAGAGGAGGAGCTGGAGGGGAGAGGTATTGCAGAAGGGAAATTGACCAGTTTGACAATTGAGTAAATGTTGGGAAAGAGGGAGTGTCAAAAGTTCAGAAACTACAAAAGTAAAACCAACGAATCACTAAAATACTAGTTAGTGAAAGTGTATTGTGTGCACACCAAAAAGACAGTTTGCATGTTGAGAGCACTCAACCAAACATGGAATGAGGCTCCAGGTTGTATTGTTACAAAGCAGCTTATGCAGTTTATATTTCATGGTGACTGATTATACTGTTAGAATTCCCTTAAGTGATAGGGAATTGGTCAAAGGCTACCTGATTTTAACCTTGGGAGACAGTTTTCGTTTTGCTTATGATTTTCAGAGGCAAGAGCAAGAGGCGACTTAGTTCATCTTTCAAAGCTAAACTACACTTTGCTTGAATGATTCATCTAGTTTTGTCTGTTCAGGAGATTTTTAAGGCTGGTCTCCCTTTGTTTTTTATTTTAACAGAGAAAAAGGAGTTAGTGATTCTGCTGAAATTTGATACACGTGTGATTGGGTTCACGTTGGTGCCTACAATTACAGCAGGGAGCTCACGCAGATGAGTTCAGTTATTCGGTCTTTAAATAGAGCTACGGCAGGGCTTTCAGGTGTGGGTACCCAGCCAGTAGAGGGACTCAGAACTTCCGCTCATGGAAGAAGTCAGAGCCAGACATCCCATTTGGAGCCATTCACCAAAAGATGTTAGTAGAAGGTGGAAAACTGAAGGAGCTGGCTGAGGAAGAGAGTATAAAAAGCAGAAGAGAGCAAAGAAAGGTAAGCTTTGGGGAAGAAAGAGCCGGGGATACAGAGGAAGAAGATACTTAGAGGGGAGCAGGAGACCAGGTACAGGCGGCATCACTGAAGTCAGTACAAGAAAGTGCTCAGGGTCGAGAAGGAGACGGCAGAAGGCGGTTACTGGAGTCTGGTGATCTGCAGAAGCAGGTTTAGTGGAAAACAGACGGGCCAGGCAGAAAATGGGTCTATTAGTGACTGGAAAAGCAGGATTAGGGATGGGTACCCCCAGTAACTGACTTAAGACCCAGAACTGGCCCTAGCCAGTTTGGCTCAGTGGATAGAGCGTCGGCCTGCGAACTGAAAGGTCACAGGTTCTATTCCGGTCCAGGTCACATGCCTGGGTTGTGGGCCTGATCCCTAGTAGGGAGCTTGCAGGAGGCAGCCGATCAATGATTCTCTCTCATCATTGATGTTCCTATCTCTCCCTCTCCCTTCTCTCTTGGGGAGCCCTGAATCCAGGATCAGGATGGTGTCACCACACTGCTTTCTGGTGTTGGGCCTATGCAGGGGCTAGTACCTTCATTTTTACAGGGTCCACACCCAGGGTGACCTTCGCAAGGTCAGAGACACTCTAGATAACAGCATATCTACCTGACCAGGGCCAGGCCACCTTCACCAGCACTGTAATGGGGCAAACAGTTGAGAAAGTGAAAACAAAAAAGGCTCCTACCTTCCTTTGTTCAATCCTTGCCCCACTGAGGTAGCCCAGGGGGCAGATTGAAGGGCCACAGCATGTCCCATAGGCAAAGCGGGTGTAAGTCAGGAATTCGCTCAAGAGCACCTGTTGTCCTGAACAGGCAGGGCGCAAGGTTCATAAAGGGGCACCCGGCAGCACCTTCTCAGAAGCTGTTTGGGTTCACGTGGTTATTGGCACAGGCAGACCTCAGAGAGATTGCGAGTTTGGTTCCAGACTAGGCAGCCTCAATAAAACAAGCATTGCAATGAAGCTAGTCATAATCCTTTTGCTGGTGGAGAGTCTTGCCTCCAATTGGTAGAAAATGCCAACACCTGTGAAGCACAGTAAAGCAAGGTGTGTCTGTACTGAGTGATTTGTCCTCTCTCCAGGAAGCTCCAGTGGCAACTCTTCTCCGGAGTACCCTCGGAAGGAATTCGGTATGTCCCTTCCTTATTTCCTGAAGAAATGGTCAACTGAGGCACTGGAAAAGGGCGGGGGGGCGGGGGGGGGGCGAGGGAGAGGGAGGTGTAGGGGGAAAGAACATCCTGAGTTAAATGGATTCTCCTAAAAGAGTTTAACCTCTGCTGACCTGTGGGGTTTTTTTGGTTTTTTTCTTGATTTTCATACTAAAACATTTTGGGGGGTTTGTAGCCTTTGCTCGTGATGCTACCGAAATAGCAAGCTATTCATACAAAGCTCAGGCGTAGACAGATAAGCCCTAAGGCCAAGCAACAATTGTAGGATTTCTTTCCTTCCACAGAGACCTCCCAGCAAAGAGGAGTGGGGTCAGAACACACACATGCCAAACATCCCAGCACTTCCGCCATAGCAGGCCTCTGAAAAGCATGTGGTAGGACCAGTGAATCCCAAGTATCTTCTGGCCTTAAGTCTTCCATCCATGTTCTCAGTTCTCACTGTGCTTATGGATTGATATGGTCATTGATTATATAGTGGTTATAATTTTATTTGTTTGCTTTCAATGAGAAAACCAAAGCAATCTCTAACAAAACAAACAAAATAAAGAAAAGATCTGGCAGCTTTTTGATACATTTGATCAGTGTAGAGTGAGCTAGTCCAAATGGATCATGCTCCTAAATGGATTACCTCAGCTAACTTAACAGCTAACTAGAAACTCTTAAGTGTGAGCTAACTTGACATTCATTTAGCTACCTTAACACATTAAAGGCACTGGGGCCTTGCAAAACTCTCCTGCCTTTTGGCTACATGGTCATCATTTATTAAACACCCACTATCCAAAGGATACCTATCTGGAAAACACACACTGTGAAAACCAGCTCCTCCCCAACTCAAATAGGTCTTACCCCCACATCAAAAATAGTTAGCATACCACCTCTTATCTAAGATAACTTTCTGTTTGTTTGTTTCTCAGCATCTTCTGCAACCCGAGGACGCAGCCAAACACGAGGTGAGCTCTATCTCTGGGTTCAATTCAATTCAATAAACAAGTATTCTCTGTGCACTTAACGTGTCCAGCCTTGAGCCAGGAAATGGGAGGAGTGCAGAAGAATAAATGAGGCCTGGTTCTACCTACAAGGGGCCTACAGCATCCAGGGAATCTTTAGCTGGCTCGACCGGGATGGGAAGGGTAGATTTGACGATAATCTAAAAGCCCATGGAGGTAGGAATGAAAATGCATGACAACCACCTGGGCAGTAGCTGGTTCTGCTGTGGATTTGTCTGAAGATGATGGCCCTACATCTTATTTCATTTCTAGTCTCCTGGTTGACTTTAACAAGAGGTGCTGTGAATGCCTTTATGCACCAAAACTGAGCAAAAACCCTTCTTTTCCCAATTACCCCCGGGGACAAAGGACTCTGTGACAGTTTTGTAAATCTGCCCATGAATAAGGCTGTAAGCAGGAAACATGGTCCCCGGCAAGCTGCCCTTATTGAACCTGGTGAGGAGCAGGTGTCAGGACCACACAGAAGGCATAGTTCTTCAAAGGCTTTGGGAGTTCTCGATGACCAGCCTAGATTTGAAAAGTTAGGAACACACCAAGCAACCACAACTTGAGGCTGATAGTAGAAAGATGCCAGTCTTCCACCTGAAACTAATGATGTTAAACTACCCACTTTCTGCCCTCTTCATTTCTAAAGAGACCAAATGGCTAAGTAAACATCATAGGTTTTAGAATCCTCTTTGTGCTGCCTGAGAGACCCTAGAGGAAGGGAGCAGTGTGGTTCTGGCAACTGGGAAACAGGTGACTGGAAAGGGGTGGGTCATTGATGACTGTGATGGAGCCGCCTCTTCAGCGTGGGGTTTCATCAGAACATCTCCAGGCGGCTGGAGGTGTGCGGTGGGCAAGCTGGGGTGTTGGGAAAGGACATATCTTTTTGAACAGCACTCGTCCTGGGTATACCTGGGTGTCTTGTTCCCAGGACACAGATCTCAAAGCAGCCCAAAGATATATCCACTGCTCAGAGCTCAGTGTCAGGCACTGTGACCAAGTTCCTTCACTCACAGCCATCTCCTTCCCTTTCCTCCTACAGAGAGTGAAATCCGAGTGCGACTGCAGAGTGCGTCCCCATCTACCCGATGTAAGTGGGCACGGTCTTGCTGAAAAGAAAGGGCCCAGGAATCCAGGGCTGTGTGTGTGTGTGTGTGTGTGTGTGTGTGTGTGTGTGTGTGTGTAGTCACTCAATCATTAAATGTCTCTTGGGGTCTTCTGGGAGAGAGATCCTGTGCTAAGTGCAGGGGCAAAGGGAGAAGGAGCTGAGTAAGTCACAGTCCCTGCTATTCGTTTTTTCACAGACTAAATGGGGAGACAGTCAGCAACCAACCAAGACAGCTCAGGAAGTGGAGGGAACAGGGATCCTGGGAAGCCTTCCTGGTTAGTGTCACTTGAAGAGAGCCTGAAGGCTGGATCACAGTTAGGCTCCATGGCATGAGCTGGCAGAGACATGTAAGGACCATATGATGAGACTTTGGAAAAAGCTTCAGTGAGGCTGAAGGAAAGGCAGCAGTAGGGGCCCTCATGGGATAGTTAGATTAGAGAAGGTCTGGAGTAGAGTGTGAGAGTTTGAACTTGATCTCAATTGTTAGGAATTCCCCATCTCTGTCTGCTGATTGTGTTAGACTTCTTTTGTTCTTGTTAGAGGTTATTTGACATTTTGAAATGAGCCCAACTATTAGGACCAGAGCCGAGTAGAGTAGGAGGAGAAAGAGCTGAGTGGGTGGCTCAGGAATCAGAGATGGGTACTTGCCCAAAGAGCTCAAGGCCTGGAGTCCAGGAATCTGCCTCTAGGCCTGATGCTATCACACCTGAGCCCTTCTAGGCATAGGTGTGCTGGGGATAACAGGGGAGGGGGTCCTGGGTGGTCCTCCAGCAGGTGTTGTCTGCAAATCTGTCTCCTTTTATACATTGCCCTTGCACCATGCCTCCCCCTTCTCCCTCCTCTCCTGTTTGCCATGTGGGAAGCACTGGGAGCCTGCTCCACTAGATTGCCTTGCTACAAATAATACTAACCAGATGGGCTTGAAATCAACTCACACAAAAACAGCATAATGCTTAGGAGTTATGGGCCACAAATCCCTTTGACACTGCAGAGCATACAAGGTCAGGGACCCGACACCTGAGGTGTCCTGAGCAGGGGTTGAAATCACAACAGAACCATTTGTTTCAGGGGGTCTGGTTCTCTAACTGCGCTGGGTGTAAATTTCCCTTGACCCAGGATGACATTGTCTTTCAGCCACACAGTCATCCCTGTGGTGTCTGATGAGGCATAATTAGGAAATATCTACCGATGACTTTGACCTCCTTGTAGAAGTACTATATTTATGAGGCCATTAATATTGCAAAGTGCCAGGTTAATAAGTGCTATAAATTGACAAAAAGCAAAAATTACAAGGCTAACCAAAAATGTCCCATCATGCAAAGTAGCTGCCATCCTCCCTGGTGTTCAGAACGCCATAAATGTAACTCTCACTGAAGCCGGACTTGGGAAATAATCCTGGGCCTAATGGAGAATGTGGGGATTTTTCTACAGGGACGGAATTGGATGAAGTTAAACGTTTGGTCAAGGGAAGCCGATCAGCAAGTGCAAGCCCCACCCGGAATTCCTCCAACACACTCCCCATCCCCAAGAAAGGCATTGTGGAGACCAAAACCGTGAGCTCCCAGTCAGGTGAGCCCTACAGCCCAGGGCTGCATGGAGGGAAGGGAACAAGGTGGTATGTGAGTCCTAACCCAGGAATTCAGTCATACTCTGGCAGGCCCTCCAGACTACAGCAAAGCACTGCCCTTTATGCAGCATGAAAATGTAGGCTGGTCACCCATCCCAGGGGCCTGCTGAGTCAGGCTCTCCATCCTACAGATTTTCTCCAGGAGGTTCTTGACATCTCCTGGGAATGTGTTGGCCAAGTTCCCCAAATGAAGAATATTGTCATGTTTTCTTTCATTGATGCGTTCATTCAGTGGATGTTTATTATTTGCCTCCTCCATGCCAAGCACCAGGCACTGAGGAAAGGCAATGAACAAGACAAACACAGCCATTGCCCTCATGGAGGTGAGGGCTTCTGGAGGGAGTCAGATAACGAAGAGATCGTAGTCAGATGGGATGAGGATTGCTCATCACTCATATATCACATGCCTACCACATATAAGGTGGGTTCTGTGGGAGGCAGAAAGAGGAATGAGGAGATCCTTGGAGGGAGATGAGGAAAGAACCCAGTTTTGCCAGGATGTGAATGGAGCTTTCCTGTCATTTGCTACTGGGGAGAAACCTTGAGATTGTGATCTTCCTTTTATTTTTTAATAAAACCAAAACCTCAGAGCATGTTATGACCTGTGGGGCTAGCTCCCTCTCATAGAAGGAATAAAAGGAATAGGCTTCAGATTTGAAGAAGCACCAGAACTCCTTCTTGGGGGCAAAGTGCCATTGGGTTTCCTTGGCAAGGAGAGTTTAACCAGAAAAGGCTGTCATCCGTGCGGGGTGACCTCGGAAGTGCGGGCTCCCTGCCTGTGCCTGCTGTGTGCCTGCAATTCTGTGGGCATTCGCTATGGGGCCTCACTAGCTGCTCACCTAATATAGTTAAAGGTGGAGACAGGAACAAATAAAGAATGAGAACATTGGTGGGGACTGCTCAGAGGAAATGGGTGGGGGGGGGAGAGTTCTTAGAAGGAGAAATGGGCAACCCCAAAGCAAAATTTACCTACTTCAAATTTCATCAAGAGCCAGCAAGATTACCTAACCTAAGGGATAAGGTTGCACCAGCTCCAAAGCTTCAGAAAGAACTGGGATGACCAATGGCCCTAGTTTGCCCTGGACCTAGAGGTTGCTGGGATGTGGGACCTTCAGGGTTAAACCAGGAAAGTCCCAGCAAATGGAGTCAACTGGGTCACCCCAGCACAGAGTTCTGGGTTGTCTCTCATTGGGGTGTCTGTCTGCTGTCTGTTTCCAGTGTCCGGCACCTATGATGCAACCATTCTGGATGCTAACCTTCCCTCCCACATGTGGTCCTCCACCTTGCCAGCAGGGTCCTCCATGGGGACCTATCACAACAACATGACTACCCACAGCTCGTCCCTCCTCAACACCAATGCCTACTCTTCAGGATCAGGTATGTGATGCACAGTGCACTGCCCTCCCACCCCTGAGCCCTCCTCACCTTTCCTTGGGCTAAGAGACCCTGCTGGTGTCCACCATCCCCAAGGCTTGCTAGCGGGCTTTCTCTGGCTAAACATCCCAACGTTTTTCCACTAGAATTTCATTTCCTTTCAGTCTCTGAGGTGGGGGGTTCTCCATAAAAAGAACTATATTCCACAGTGCGTCAGAAAAAAAAATGCAGTGGGAAAAAACATGAAAGCAGATTCAGGGAACCTGGCTTCACTTCATGTGCATTAACTGTGTGACCTTGAGCTAGTTATTTACCGTCTCTGGGTTTCAAGTTCCTTTTATTTTCTTTTTAATCTTTTTATTTTTAGAGAGAGAGGAAGGGAGACGGATAGAGAAATAGAAATGTGGATGAGAGAGAAACATCATCCATCAGCTGCCTCCTGCATGCCCCCTCGTGGGGATCATGCCCAAAACCAGGCATGTGCCCTGACCAGGGAATCAAACCCGTGACCTCTTAGTTCCTGGGTCAACTCTCAACCACTGAGCAAAACTGGCCAGGCCGAGTTCCTTTTCTGTAAAATGGCCACTAACATGTGGGCATTTCCAGACCCAATGTTCACCTGAGGCCTGACCAACCTCTGACCACCCCTTGGCTATGTTCTAAGGTGCAAACCAGGCACAAATGTGTGGTTCTCTGCTGCAAGGCAAGTGCTTATGATTTCCTGAAAAACAAATTTAACAAAATATAAAAATGCAACCTGTTCATTCTGGAGCTTTTGAGGCAGCCCCTGTTCTGGGCTGGATGTCCCTCTCACCAGCCCTCCCTGTCCCCTGCAGTCTTTGGAGTTCCAAACAACATGGCATCCTGCTCCCCTACTCTGCACCCCGGAATCAGCACCTGCTCCTCAGGTCAGTGCTCGCCAGCTTCCACCACCTTTCCCAGGTGGTTTGCCCAAGATGGGGAGGTGGGGCATAAAAATATTGCTGTGTCACTTAGAATGTGAGCACTGAGAAAGTTTGGGAATCCCTGTCATATGCAGAGGCATTTAGGTATCATAAAAGTGGTGTTGGGGTGCTGCGGGTGGTGCTGCCTTAAGCTGAGGACCCTCCTCACTGCACCCCCGCTCACCTGTCTTCAATTCCTTTCAGTGTTTGGCATGCAGAACAATCTGGCCCCCAGCTCCTCTGCCCTGTCCCACGGCATGGCCACCACCTCCACAGGTCAGTAGCTGAGGCTTGGAGCTTCGGGCCTCGGAAGTAATGCTATCACTCATAATATCCCTTTCAACAACTGCATCGGAGGGACTAAGATGTCCCTAAAAATCAATCCACCTTTCCCACCAAAGAAACAACCCCCGCTCCCAACCTAGAGATGCCAACCTCGATCATTTGCTGGATCAGACATGTGAAAACCCGGGGGAGTATTCCTGTGGGGTGTCACCTGTGAGGCCCTGAGATTCATTGCTGGAGAGCTGATTGCATTATTCCTTATTCTTCGTGTTCATTATTCATTCATTATTATTATTCATTATTATTATCTTCCTCTCACGTGGGAGGCGAAGCTGCCTGTCTGCCAGGGCTGGCCAGGCTGCTGCTATGTTGTGTGGAGCTGCCCTCCCACTCTGGTCCCACTCACTCAGAGGTTCTCTCTTGCAGCATACGGGATGAAGAAAAACATACCCCAGAGCCCTGCTGTTGTGAGCACTGGCGTGTCCACCTCTGCCGGTGAGTGCTGCCCCAGCTGCCAGGAGCAGGCTGTAGTACCGGGAGAATTGCTCCTTGGTGACACTTAGTGTGTGGGAGGAGCGGACATAACCCATTGGTGGTCTAAGGCCCCAAATGGGCCTCTCGGTTACTTCCAGAAGTGAGCAGAGATCAGCAGCTCCCTGACCCCACCTTGACCTTTCTGTCCAAAGGAGGCAGGACGCTTCACCCTCCACCCCTGCCTAGGGTCAGACACTTACACCCCAGCTCCCACCTTTGTCTGGAAGCCCCTGGCCTGCTCCTGTTACATGTCACCCATGGCAAGAACCAAGGAGCAGGTCAAAGCTGCCACCGCCTCCCTACTTTCTGCAGACTCATTATCGACTTGGGCTCACCCCCCAGGGTCAGCCGTTTCCGCCATTGCTCTGAACCTGTATGTTTTCTGTTCTAAGTGCCTGGACCACACAATGAACAAGGCAGGTTAGGTTCCTGCCCACCAGCTTGACAATTGCAGTGGAGGCAGATAAACAAGTAGGCAAGATAACTTCAAGGAAAGAAATAGGTGAAAGAGTAGAAAAAGGAATGTGTATTAGACAGGGTGGTCAGGAAAAACCCCCAGGACGCTAACACCTGAGACCACCAGGTTAAAGAAGGGCCTGTCTGAGAAGGGACTTTTGTCCATTCAATAGAGATCCTATAGCATCCAGGTGGGAGGCTGCCCATCAGCCAGCCCCCCAGTACTTCTGACATGGACCCAACCTCCTCACGACCAGGCCCTGTGAAGCAGGGGAGGTTATCTTTGGTCCTCAAGATGCTTCTTTGCAGCCACTGTCAGACCAGAGATCCTTGGACACACCCACTAATCTCTCTTTTCCTCCCCCATCCCCCTTTCCTTCTCCTTCCTCTTCTAATCATTTCCTCCCTCCACCTCTTCCTGGTACCTTTTCCTTCCTCCTCACCTCTTCCTCTCTAGCCTGTACCACGAGTGTCCAGAATGATGAGCTGTTACACAAGGACTGTAAGTTCCTGATCCTGGAGAAAGATAACGTGCCTGCCAAGAAGGAGATGGAGCTGCTGATCATGAATAAGGACAGCGGGAAGGTCTTTACTGCCTCCCCCGCCAGCGTCACTGCAAGTATGTGGGAGCCCAAGGGACTCGGGTGTCAGAAGAAAAGCAGACAGAGTGGGAGACCCAGTGTCCTAGCAAGGTGGTTTGAGATGTTTTAATAGTAAAAGTGCAGTCATCCATTCGAATGAAACACTGCCTGCTAAACAGGGTGCTCCTGGGTGTCTGCCTAGAATGCAGACAAACCTGGAAAATTCTGGAAAAGGGCAACCTCAGCAAGACTCCCAAGCACAAACCCAGAGGCGGGGATTAACCCCAGGAAAGCTGGGTCCTCTTCCTCCCCATGTGGACAGGAAGTGGAGTGGGTTGGAGAGCCGGAGGGAACATCCTAGATTGTCATGAGTTGTGTGCACAGCTTCTTTTTCAGAGGACACCCTGAAAAAGGAAAAGCAAGCTGCCTACACTGACACTAAGCTGATCTTGGATACTAATGGTAAGACCACATCTGATCTCCGTCCACCTTGCCTTCAGCCCATCCACGTCTCAGTTACGTATTTGTCTCCTGAGACCTCGCTACTCCACAGGTGGTCCCTGGACCAGCAGCAGTGACAGCACCTGGGAGCCTGTTACAGACGCCCAGGCCCTGCTGAGCCAGAGGCTGCGTTCTAACAGGCTTCCAGTTGACTTGTGCGCACACAATATGGAAACAAAAGCTTTCCCATGACGTGTGTAAAGCCTGCAATGGTATTTTTTCTCACCTTACTCAACCTTCCTTAATTTTCAGAATTAATAGAAAATGCTTTGCAAAGCACTTGCTAGCTTTATTTTTTCTTCTCAAACACCTGGATCCTCTCATAGATAAACACATTGTTTCACTGCTGTGAGTCCCGGACCCTCTCTCCAAATCACTGGTTTCAGGGGGGAAGGAAGGGCGGGATCAGTAAAGGAGGAGAAAAGTGCATCATAGAAGATTTTTAGGTAAATGCAAAGGAAATCAGTCCCAGTCCTGACAATGCCTGAGTTAGCAGTTCCTTATGTTGTCAGGGTGGACACAGGGCAGTGAAGCCAAAGACCCTTTCAGAATCAGATGGAAGCTATGAACAACTTTCCCAGAAAATTGTGCACATGCCCACAAACCCTCCGTGGTCCGAGAGCATCAGGAGCTCATGAACAGCCCTCCTCCCAGCCCATCCTCACTGTTGGGTTCCCTCCACCCCAGGCCAGGAACTTGCATTCAATGTCCCTTCACAAGAAGGACTTGGGGGAGGGGGAGGTTAATGAGGGGAAAAAGGGACATCTGTAATACTTTCAACAATAAAGATAAATTAAAAATAAAGGTCCCTTCACCAAAAGAATCAAGGCATTTCTCACAAGCACATCTATTGTTTGAGGGCAAAGGTCATTCCTGAAAATGTCTAGGGCTTTACAGGTTTCAGGTCACAAGAGGGTTATGACACAGCTTTTTCCCACCATTAATTGTTCTCCAAGTCATGTCTGCATCAATGCAATTACTCAAGGTGCCTGGGGGTACATCCACCTAAAGCCCTGCCCCAAATCTACACAGGCTGGTTGTGGGCTCCTCACATTTAAAAGCTCAAGACAAGCCCTAGACAGTTTGGCTCAGTGGGTAGAATGTCGGCCTGTGGATTAAAGGGTCCTGGGTTTGATTCCAATTAAGGGCACATGCTCAGGTTGCAGGCCCGACCCCCAATGAGGGTCTGATTCTCTCTCATCATTGATGTTTCTATCTCTCCCTATATATATATTTTTAATACATTTTATTTACAGAGAGGAAGGGAGAGAGATAGAGAGCTAGAAACATCGATGAGAAAGAAACATCGACCAGCTGCCTCTTGCACACCCCCTACTGGGGACATGCCCGCAACCAATGTACATGCCCTTGACCAGAATCGAACCTGGGACCTTTCAGTCCGCAGACCGACGCTCTACCACTGAGCCAAACCGGTTTCGGCTAAAGATATATTTTTAAAAATAAAAATAAATAAAAGCTCATGTCAAAACCTGTTCTCGGTGCTTGTCTTTCAGGGGATGTGAAGACTGTGTCCACAAAGAGCAAGGCGGCCTCCGCAGGTGGGTGAGCCCGGCGAGTCCTGCAGTGACGGAACCCATGGGACTGGTGATGGTGAATGGAACGGATAAGGCCCCCTCGCCAGGAGCCATGCACACCTGAGCCACCCAACTCTAAAGAGTGTCTCTGAAGGCTCAAGGGAGCGGGGTGGAGGGCAGTAGAGGGGGCAGACTGGGGCTAGAGTGGTTCAAGAAGCAGCTTGGTTCAGGGGCATTTTACTCACAGCTCCCCCCTCACAGGCGCACAATACACACACACACACACACACACACACACACACACATGCTGCTACTGCCCTCAGGTCCAGAGGCTTCCCCTATAGCTGTTGTCCACCCCCCAGACACACACATACAGGCTTTAAGGTGGCACTAATTCATGCACATCTCCAACCCTTTACACTTTCCTCTCTTCCTCCTCGAGCCTTGTGAGAGAGGCAGAGCAAGGGCTAACACCCCGTTTTAAATACTAACCTTTTTACAAAAAAAAGAAAAATCGCCTGGGCATACCTTAAATGCTGAGCGTCATTCTAGGCACTTGGGGATTGCACACAGAGGTGTAAACTGCACCTTGGAGATGAGAATACCTTGGGTTTGGGCCTAATAAAATGTAGGAGGTTGTAGCAGGTCCAAGTTTTTCATTGAGAGTTTTAAACCGAGCCCTCTGGGCTACATCCCCTGCTAACTGCCTTCCATGCTCTCATTTCACTCAGCAACTGTCCTATGGAGTAAGGAATCTTTTAAGCTCATTGTAGTTAAAAGAAAAAAAAAAAGGGAAACAGAGTAGTTAAGTGACCATCTCAGGGTCACACAGCTCAAGCCCAGGGCTGTCAGACTTCTACTCTTCACCAGCCTCATCCTTCACGGAGCCGCCCAGGAACCTGAAAGACTCACTTAGTTCGCTCGGACCCACAGGAAGTCACCCAAAGCCAGAGAATTTAAAGGGAAGAGAGCCAAAGCCCCCTGCCTTCACCTTCCCCTTCTCTCTCCCACAGATATCCACGGCTACGGCTACGATCATCACAACGGTGTCAGTGGCAGTAAAAGTGGCGGTGGTGTTGGTGGCGCAGGCGGCGGAGCTGGCGGGGGCCCATGGGGAGCAGCGCCCAAATGGTGCCCCTGCAGCTCCTGCTGCAGCTGGTGGAAGTGGCTGCTGGGCCTGCTGCTCACCTGGCTGCTGCTCCTGGGGCTGCTCTTCGGCCTCATTGCTCTGGGTACGTGGCAACGGTGGCAGGGCGGAAGGTCCCAGTGCCCAGCTGCCCATTCAAAGGGCAGGAATTTGCTGGGTCCCAAGTGCCCGGCATCCGTGAAGAGCTCTGTGCTGCAGGTGGGGAAACAGGCTCTGGGAGGGCGCCACCTAGTGGCGGAGCTGGATTCTGGTGCAGCTCCCTTGCCCAGGCCCCCATCCCTGCAGCAGGACTCTAGGCTTCCAGCTGCCCCAGTAGTCAGGCCGGACCTTCTCATAGCAGTTTTGCCCGAAAGTTCTGTTGGCCTCTCACAGCTCCCAGGGAGGGTAAGGGCCAGCATTATCACTCTCTCAAATGAGAAGACTGAACCCACCCACCCAGACCAGTTTCTTTAAGGGTCGATGACCATTTTGAGTAGCTAATCTGGCTGCTAACCATAAGCATTCTATCAAAATGTTCCCTGTGCGGCTCAGTGGATGAGCATTGACTTAACGGAGCAGGAAGCCACAGCTCGATTCCAGGGCAGAGCACATGCCCAGGTTGCAGGCTGGATAACCAGTGGGGGACAGGCAGGAGGTGGCCAATCAATAATTCTCTCTCATCGTTGATGTATCTATCTCTCTCACCCTTTCCCTTCCTCTCTGAAATCAGTAAATATGTATGTATATTTAACATCTTCCCAATGGCAAGAAGAAGCTCCCCAGCCCCCAGAGTCCCCAGTTCAGGCCCCCCGGGGGAGGGAGTGTGTGCTGGGAAGGCAGTGGGCTGACCCTGGGCTGAGCTGCCCGCCTGCCATTTCAGCGGAGGAGGTGCGGAAGCTGAAAGCACGCGTGGACGAGCTGGAGCGGATGCGGAGCGGCGTGCTGCTGCAGGAGCAGATAGAGAAAGCCAGAAAGGACCGGCTGCAGGGGCTGGCGCCCGGCGACGGCACAGGCATGGAAAAGTTTGGGCTGGATGCTTCCGATCAGGAGACGCTCTGGCTGTTCATGAGGAACAAGCTGATGAAGGAGCAAGAAAACGGTGAGCACATCGCAGGGCAAAGGGCCGGCCTGTGTGTCGAGTGGTACCTGCTCAGGGGACTCCCACACTTCCCTCACTCTCAGGGCCAGTACTGTGAACCCATTTTTACTGTTGGGAAAACTGAGGCCTGGAAAGAATTGCCCAGTATCACACAAGTAGCACATTTTAGAATCTGGTTGCTAGTCCTACCCTCGGTTTCTCCCCACTACACCACAGAGATTCCTTTCGTGCCTGTGCCTCACACGACGTGTAACTAACTCGGGGTTTGCTTTCTCTTGTAGGCAATCTCCGAGGAAACCCTGGCCCTAAAGGTACTGAGCCCTTTCCCTCTCGTTTCCTGAACTTGGAGCCCTCTTTTCTGGGTGGGTTAGAAAGCTGTTTTCCAAACTGAAGGATGAGCAGTGGACAGATCTTACAGCACCTGTTGGGAGGGTTGGGGATTGGCTGTACGGTCAGAATATCTCAGGACGGGACGGGACCTAGGGCATCCTCTGAGATGCCGGTGATGTGCCAAGGGACACAGCCGGGGACTGGGAGGAAGCCATGCCCCACGCCAGCTCACCTTGAAATGCGGTTCCCCCGCTGTCAGTGGGTCTTACCGACTCTGAGAGAGAAGCCCTTGGGTTCTCGACCATTGACAGTCATTTCATCTTTCTTATTTTAGGTGACATGGGAAGTCCAGGCCAAAAAGGTAATTTTTACCTCAATTATTAGTGAGGGTTGACGGTTTACGGCAATCAGCGAGCACCAGAGAACCCACCTCACATGCTCATGGCCATCGCCCCTCTGCGGTGGGACCGTGAATTGCAGAGCAGCCTGCACACCTTGGGCTTTGCTGGGGCCGGGCTTCGTGACAGAGCAGGGCTTCCCCCCTCTCAGGGCTCCGGGGACTCCCAGGCCCTCGGGCAGCCTGTGTCAAGGGCTTACATCTGCCCCCAGCTCCAAAGGGCAGTCTGAGGGCCTGCTACCACTCAGCTACCACCCCCTGGAGGTTCCTATCAATCCAAGTTCCTGGGCCCTGCTGAGGATCAGGTGTCCCTGGAGCAAATGCTCTGGGGCTAGACCTACCCTCCACCCGGGTTTTAATTCTGATGGATCAGGTCAGGAACCACCATTCCAAGTGAGCCACTTGCTCTCAGGATCTTAGCCGAGGGAGCCAGGGATAAAATGCAGCCGTTGGCAACTGAGCCTCCTGTGGGGGATCCAGCAGGAGCGCCAGCACCTGCCTCCAGGGGTGTGTGGGCGCAGTCACAGGAGCAGGTGCCCACAGTGCTACTCAGTTGGGACAACCGCATGCTGCCTTGTGTGGCACACACTTACATGCTGTAAGAAACTGATGTCTTTCCTTAGAGAAGTGGTTTGATGGTCCATGGGGTGGGCCCATGAGTGGGGGAAGAGGTTTCCAATCCCAGGACCGCCTCAGCGCCCCTTGATCTTGGAGTGGGGTTCACACGCTTCAGAGTACATGAGCATGGACAGGAGATTCTGGGTCCCACTTCCAGAGCCTCTGACTCAGCAGTCCTGGTGGTACAGGTGGGTGGGGCCCGAGTCTGCAATCCTGATCACCCAGTTTCTTCTGAGAATCACTGTCGAAGGTGACAGGGTCACCTCTCTGGGCTCCATCTTTCTCTCACGAGATCCCTCTGCAGGAGTTGGGGTTCCTGCCTTTGGTGGTCCTCTCCTCTTCAGGGGTACCTGTCTCCATGCACACGCCTGGGTCACCGCCCCAGCTCCCCTCCCCAGGACTCCAGCGTGTAGGTCACACCCCCTGACCCTGCTGGGGCTGGAGACTGAAGGTCCTGGAGCCCCTGAGCCAGGCCAGTTGAATTCGAAGCACTGATAATTTTTCACTATAAGTTTGCCCCAAATATTACAGGAAACATATTTATACTAAAAGTTTATTCATTGTTTACCTGCAACTCAAACTTACCTGAGCACCCTGTATTTTTATCTGCTATATTTGGCAATCCTGTCTGAATCCCACCTGGTGGCTCCTGTAGGTAGTGGCCCAAGTCTTTGAGCTGACTTGTCCTTCTATCTCTGTCCGCAGGAGATCGGGGCCTCCCCGGGACTCCAGGTGCGTGATCAGATGGCACGGCTGGGGGTGGGCTGCTGGGTCCTGCCTCCCAGGTCCTAGGGGTGTTTTCATGTACCTACAGGGATTCCTGGGCTCTTGGGACAGCCAGGTCCAGAAGGACCGAAGGGACAAAAGGGCAGCATTGGTAAGAACTGCTTCTCCATCCGCTCCTTCCGTTCCTCCCTCCCTCTCTCACTAGACATTTATTAAGTGCCCGCTGTGTGCCGGGCCATTTTAGCTGTTGGGGAGACATCGGTGAACAAAACAGAGAAACTCCTGCTTACGTTTGGGTAGGGAAGAAGAATAATAGATAAATATGTGAAGTTCATAGCAGAGTAGGAGGAGGTTGGGAATGGGAAAGGCAGAGGCTGGTGGGACATGGAAAGGCCTCCCTGAGAAGGTGCCACATGAGCCAAGACATGAGGGCATGAGGGAACCTGGCATGAGGAGAACTCAGAGCAACAGTCCAAGCAGAGGGAGCAGCCACAGGCCCCAGCACAAATGTGCCCACTGGTCAGGGAGCAAGGAGGAGGAGGAGATCATAGGGGCCTCAGCTAGAGCCCAGAAGGGAGGCGGAGAGTCCAGAGGTAAGGCAGGGAGCAAGGCTGACCATGTGGGGCCCCGGAGGCCTTGTGAAGACTTTCCCTCCCAGCGAGGCCAATAGCCACTTCAGGTTGGAGGTCTGGGGCAGAGGTGGGACATGACCCTTTTGCATTCTCAAGGGTCGCTCTGGCTTCTGGGTTGAGCTTGGGCTACAGGGAGTGAGGGGAGGCCCAGGGGACCAGTGCAGAGGCTCCAGGCAGGTGTCCTACCAGCGAGATGCTGCCCGCGGAGCCCTCAGGGTCCTTACTCTCATATGGCCATTTCTGTGTTTAGGAGAGCCTGGCATGGAGGGACCTGTGGGCCAGAGAGGGCGTGAAGGCCCCATGGGACCTCGCGGCGAACCGGGACCACCTGGGTTTGGAGAGAAAGGGGACAGAGGTAAGAGGTGATTCCCTCACCAGGAGGGTTAGCTACATTCGCACTTCCTCCTTCCAGTTTTCTCACTAGCATTTGCTGGGCATCTTGAACCAAGCTCTGAGCCAGCGTGTGTAGGTAAGGCCACAGGTCCAGGCCTCAGGATGCAGAGCTCAGAATGCAAGGAGAGCATGGTCACAGGGAGAAAGGGCTTCCCCCGTGGAGTAGCGAGAAGTCAGGGCTGACGTGAAGAGTTTAGAGCAGAGCCTGGCGGAAGGCAGGATGCAATTCAGATCCTCGAGCCTCTCTCAGCTGGAACTGGCCAGGGAAGGAGGCATGGAAAGCCCCAGACACAGGCCCAGCCCTGGAGAGGCCTGGGAAGATTTTGCAATTAGATTCTTAACCATGAGTTTGTTTTTGTTTTTGTTTGTTTTTTCAAGAAAAACCAAGCATAGACCCCAGAAATCTTCTCAATGCCAACAGGTCATGAGCTGAGCAAGAAGCATAATTTTTAACTTCCCTTTCTCTTAAAAATATTGCTCAATAAGCAACACATGTGTAACGAGTATCTAGGGTGCCAGACTTCATGGAGCATGAAGGCTTCGAGGGTAGAAACCAAAGGTGTTTGGCTGATTGATGGCCTTGGGGAGGCACCCAATGGCTCAGAGGGTGGGGACCACCCCCCATTGACACCTCCGGGCTGGGTGGACTCTCTCAGAGTGCTCCTTTCTCCCCAGGGGCTGGTGAACCGGGTGTTCCTGGCCCACCTGGCGTCCCGGGTTCTGTGGGTCCCAAAGGTAAGTCATGTGCCCAGGATGGTACCCAAGTGTGCCATGTCCTGGATAGGTAGCAGAGGTCCAGGTGCTAGGATCCCAGACAGCCTTAACCCTCTGCCCCAGGCCTGTGCAGGGGCGATGTGCCCACAGAGAGCCCCCCACAAAGGAGTCGGGGTCAAGGTTGGGGCTAGTTTGGGCTGCATGGTGGATTTAGGGCCGTATTTCCATCTGTTTTCAATGGCCCCATTATGTGGCCCCTCAGTGGGTAAATGGATCAGGAAATCAGGAGTCAAACCATCTCCTCACCTGTCTGGGCCCAGATACACACATGCAAAATGCAATGTGTCTGAACCACCCGAGAGAATGGGCCTTCTTGATTTTGATGCCCACTGCTCATCTCTTCTCCCTCCTTTGCCCCCCCCCCCCCTCTGACTGGGAAGGAGCAGGGCTCTCTTGATCCCACCAGTTTCAGCTTCCTCCCTGGATGACTTTGCCCTGGACTTGGGTCATCTTGGACCCACTGGCTCTGGGGTCCTGGGAAGATCCCAGACCGTGTGGGTGGCATGCACACACAGCCCTCACTGGGAAGTGAGCCCCACCCCTCCACCTGACCTTCACCGTGGGGTCAGCTGCCCCGACCTGTGTCTGACCCTTCTGATCATTGCTGTTCTGTCATCCTCCCCAGGTGCCAGTGGTTCTCCAGGCCCACAGGGTCCCCCAGGTCAGTACGCTTCTCCTTATAAATGACGTTATTTCTGGGGCAAATAAAGGGATGCCAAAAGCAAACATTATTTAAGCAAAAGAAGCAAACTTAAGAGCGCCTGGAGGTACAAAAGTCAGCTCCACACTGTCCCCTGCGGCTGAGGTCGGGTACCAGGGAGCCCTGTGAGAGCCTGGTTTGGGTCCTGGGCCCTCTGGCAGCTTCAGCAGCAGGCAGCTCCCATCCTGCCCTCACATCTGAGCAAGCGCCTGCCTCCACCTCATTTCTACTGGCCAGAGCTCGTCCTAATGTCTTGGGAATCTCGAGCTACGGCCCACATTGAAATACAGGCCAGTGTCTCTGCCAGGGTCCCATGGGGTGCCCTATGACCAGGCCCAGGTAGTCAAAGAGGCAGAGAAGCTGGACCAGGACGGTGTGGAGGGAGGTGGGGATGATTCCGCAGAGAGCAGATCTTGAGCTTCACTCCAAAGTGTGTGTGCAAGCGCCTGGGTGTGTGCGTCCTGCATGTGTGTGTCTGTGTGCGCATCCATCCATTCCAAAACTAGGGCACTCACCCACCTGCATGGTCTCCTCTGCTCACAGGCCCTGTAGGACTTCAAGGGCCCCGAGGTGAAGTGGGACTCCCTGGCCTCAAAGGTAAGTTGGTGGGAAGGAGCCGGGGATGGGGAGGTGTCACCCTGTAGGTGCCAGTCACTCGGGAAGAAGGTGTTGGGGGGACAGAGAGGGTCGTCAGATGGACATAACAACAGCCTGTGCAGGCTGACAGGCACACAAGGAGCGGGGAAGTCAGAATGGTGGGCGGGATGCTGTCTTCAGACAAAGACCCTGCCCTTCCCGGGCTTCCTTGCCAAGGCGCTCTATATCAGGTTGGCCATTACTCTTTCAGGTGACAAAGGTCTTATAGGACCACCGGGACCTAAAGGTATGTTGTTCCTACTGCTGCTCAGACATCACTAGAGCCGGCCTGACTCCTGGGAGCCCAAATGGGACTCATGCCCCGGCATCCAAGAACACAGATGACTGGCTCCCAGACTCTGGGGCTGGAGGGATGTGGCTCTCAGATAGGGAAACTGAGGCACTAAGAGGCGTCATAAAGCACCCACATTGCAGCCTTGTAGGTGGGTAGTCCTTGGGGTGGCGAGGATGCAGTATTGAGGTCCTCCTCTTCGGGCCATCCTGTGCCCACACTGTGTGACTGTATGACAGTCAGGGCCAGGGGCAGCTTGTGGGTGGAATCAAATGCACCCCTTTGACTTCATAACTGACGAGTTCTCACCCGGATTCTGCTGACAGCAGCTTGCAGGCACAGTGAGAATGTTCTAACGGGGTAAGAATGCTTTCCTTGCTCCTGACCCATGCTTCCTGCCCCCCACCCCATGTTTGTTTTAGGTGACCAGGGTGAGAAAGGACCCCGAGGCCTCACAGGTCAGTCCTACATGGAAATCCACTTTGATCATTGAAAGACATTTTATAAATCTCCGGGGCACTGGAGGTGGGGGAAAAACACAGAGGTATGAGACAGAATCTCTGTCTACTTCAGGGAACTTGCAGTCTACAAAACTGCAAGACGAATGGCATGAAGCGCTGGCTGGAGACAAGCCAGCATCAGGCTTGCCAGACAGTAAACATCGGGGGCAGGAAAGGGAATTAGGATTGTCACTGGTTCTTTTGGGGAATCCAGTTGAGGAAATTAGCTCTTCCCAAAGTGGCAGAAAGTTGACATATATATATATATATATATATATATATATATGCCTAATATGGAAATTATTCCCCCAGGCGAGTTCACCTGGGAGACCAATCGCTCGCTATGATATGCGCTGACCACTAGGGATAGGGCGGAATGAAAAAAGGCCCCAGCTGGCAGCCAGAAGGTCCCAATTGGCCTTGATTGCCAGCCAGGCCTAGGGACCCTACCCGTGCATGGATTTCATGCACCAGGCCTCTAGTTAATAATAACGATACTTTAGCCACAAGGGGCTGCTCTCTGTTGTCAAGGAAATAAGACTCAGACACACTCAGCGGCAGACCAGGCTCATGCCTGCTGCCTGGGTGGCCCTGACTGTAGAGTCTAAGTGGACACTGTGTCCCCAACCTCTCTGGTACCCGAAGCTCATCTGGGTGGGGAAGTGGCAGGCTTGGAGGTGGGCAGGGAGGAAACAGCATTCTAGCACGGTCAAGGATGCAAAGCTTGAAAGCCTCCAACCAGCTAGGCCTCTTCCTTCGCAGGCGAGCCAGGCTCCAGAGGTCCGTCTGGTGCTGCCGGGGAGCCTGGGGCTAAAGGAGCAATGGGTGAGTGACGGGAGGGGTGAATGCAGCAAGTCTGTCCCCTTCCGGTTGTCATCATGGCTCTGGAGTTGAGATCCTTCTAGAGCCACCTCTCCTGTTCTCTGACCCCCACCCTCTGGTAGAGGGTCTGTGTACAGGCCATTTCTGGGCCTGCACATCCCTCCTGGGGCTCAGAGAGCAGCAGTCTCTGTGGGTTTCTCACTGCTCTGGCAGGGGGACTGGGCAAGACATGGCCATACCCTGTCCCCAAGCCACTTGGTTCCCTGGAAAGGATAGGCAATGCCAGGGTCCTCTGGATCCCTCTGTGTTCCAGATATAACCTTGACATCCCAGGGCAGGTCTCACAACCAGAGGGCCAGGTGTTTAGCACAAGTCCCAGGAGGGATTAGGCCCCACCAATGGGGGATGTGATTTATTCACCTTCTCATTCATTTAAGAAATTGTTGCCCAGATGGTATGGCTCAGTGGTTGAGCATTGATCTATAAATCAGGAGGTCACAGTTCGATTCCCAATTAGGCTACATGCCCAGGTTGGGGGCTTGATCTCTAGTCGGGGGCGGTGCAGGAGGCAGCAGATCAATGATTCTCACCATTGATGTTTCTATCTCTCACTTCTACTCCAAAATACATATATATATGAAATTGTTAGGAAGTGCAATTCTACGCAGGATGCTTTGCTGGGTAAATAAGATGCTTCCCCTCCCTCAAGGGGAGATAAAGCCTGTGAGAGGTAAAGTGTGAGGATTGCTTGCACTCAGAAAGGTGAGGCAGCATTTCAGATTGTCCTAAAAAATACAAGAAGATTTTGATCATGGTCAATTTGGAAAATTCCATGCAGAAACTATAACATAGTAAGGAAAGACAGAAATTGGGGGAAGAGGAGCAAGACATGGTCCCAGAAGGACCTCAGGGAGGTTGGCCTCACTGGAGCGGAGGAGACAAGCTTAGAGGAGCTTGACTTTCAGGAGTAAATGAGTCCGGCCTTTACTGAGCCAAGAAACACACGCCTGGTGTGTGCCGAGTCCTGCCCAGGGCACGGAGAAGCAATGGGAGTCACCGGGCAGTTTTAACGGGAAGATAGAAGTTACTGGTGTGGGGGAGAGGGCAGGGAGAAAGCCGTGACAGAGTCTGGGGTTTTCCTTGTTTGGCGGCCATGGAGGGGCCCAAGGGCTCCCCACCTGGGAGACAACGTGATGTGAGCCTGATGGGCAGCATAGGAGGGAGCCCCAGAAGGAGCTACCTGAGTCACTGATGAGCTGTGGTTCTGCTTTCCTAGGACCCGCTGGCCCCGACGGACACCAAGGCCCAAGAGGTTGGTCACTGATGGGCTCTCCTCACTGTCACTGCCTCCCCTGCCTCCACTGCCTGCCCTGCTCACGCCTTCTAATCATAGCTACGAGGCCAGCGCCACACAGAAACACACAAAGCCGGCTTTTATAAGCTTTCTCCTCCCCACCTGCCTGCAAGTCACTCAGTAAAACCCTAAGAAGGCATTGCTCAGGTGTGCTAGCCAGGTCAGCGTTCCCAGGAGGAAAACATTTGCACGTTGGTCATCCTCTCTCCAGGTGAACAAGGTCTCAGAGGGATGCCTGGACTCCGAGGCCCACCAGGACCTTCTGGAGACCCAGGGAAGCCAGGTAACCTCGGGAAGAGGGAGCCACACCCTGCTGAGTGTGTGTGAGAGAGTGTGTGTGTGCGCGTGTGCGTGTGCCTGTCTGTCTCGTCCAATTTTCCTCCAGCAGCTCAGCAGTTAACTGACACAGCTGCTGACTTGGCTTTGCACGGTGGCTTTGTCCTGACACCTCTGAGTCACCAAGTCTGGCAGCTGGGAAGAGAAAGGTGGAAAGGTTGAAAACAAGGGGCAGAGTTTAACACCACCTCAGCACCTTGCTCCTCAGAGCCTTCCCTCTGACCCACCTCCCCTCGGGCCGTACCTGGACCCTCACTAATGCCCACCACTCTGATGAGAGGCCATCTCCACGAAGGCCCAGCAGAAGCAAGATGCTCGGGGCTGCAGGAGAAACAAATCAAAACCCCGAGAGCTGAGAGGGGCCGTGCTCATCAGCGGTGGGATGAGCAGGAGGCCTCCTGGCTCCTTTGTTGGGAGCACCAAGGAGGGAGCTGGGGGCAGCATGAGGGGGCCAGTGGGTGTGCGTTTTCTGAGTTCACGGCTCTCAGATGCCAGAGGTCTGCGACCCCAAACAGACTGAGAACCGCTGCCCGAGGGAGCAGTGGGTCACTTCACTGCTGAGTCTGGCTGCCCCACCAACCCCACCGGCTCCTGCATTCGAGGGTGTGGCTCCTCAGCCCTTGAACTCTCCCTCGTGTGTTTTCTTTTCCGTAGGTCTCACGGGACCCCAAGGACCTCAGGGTGAGTAACGGGGCCACTCCCATTCCAGCCTTCCAGCATCCAGCAATGCCTCTCCTCAGCGCCCTCGATTCTCCCTTCCTCCCCGCACTCTCCCAGCGAAAATGGGCTCAGACCTGTGGTGTGCGTTCTGAGAAGCACCTTAGGAAGGAAAGGCATGCGCCGGGCAACCTAGATCGGCATCCTGATCTAGATTGTGCCCGTTCTGCCTGCCTGTGCCCTGCTCCCCTCCGGCTCAGGCCCAGGAGTTGGCTGGCCCCGTGGCCTGGAGGAGTGGGAGGGGTCCCCTTTCTCTGAGACCGCCTCTGCGTCCAAGTCCATCCTATAGTCTAGCCCACGTGCGCTGGCCCCTCACACCCAGCCCCAACCCCTAAAGGGAATGAAGCAAAGATGTAAAAAGAAATCAAGCAGCAGGGCCCCCAAAAGCTGAGCACACGGGGACGCCCTGCAGACTCTCCCCGGTGGAGTTCAGGAGACAAAGGCTAGGCCAGAGCACAAGGCAAAGCCAGGGAGGCCTCCGGGTTGTAGCCATGTGGAGCACTGGCCACAGCAGAGGGTGTCGGAAATTGCTGGGCCTTCATCATTCTGACAGACTTGTTTTCAATCCCATCAGGACTTCCTGGAACCGCCGGCCGACCAGGTGCTAGAGGTAAGTGACTTTCCAAACTAGATTTTCTTTCTTTTCACTTGTCATTTTTGTGGGAGGGGAGGGAAGGGGAGGTGTTGGCAGGAGTGAAGCCTGGATCAACAGTGGCATCTAGTGGCTGTGAGGCTGGGAGCCAGGGATCTGCTCTGCCCCACAAGCCCCTGAATCCTGAAGCCTCTGTCCTTTGACCTCTCAGTACTTTTCCTGCCCACGCCCGTTCCCAGTGAGACCCTGAGACACCCTGTGGGAGAAGAGAGTGGGAGTGGGAATGACTCTCAAGTCAGCCTCCCTTCGGCCTCCCTTCGGGGAGTCCCAGCTTCTTCCAACAGCTAATGCTCCAGCCTCCAGGGTGTCCGTGCAGAGACTGGTGCTTACTGCATCCTGCACACTCCCCTCAGTTCATTAAAATGCCGTTAGCCTACAGGTTAGAGGCCCAGAAGTGGGTCTCAGATGCAATCAGAGGGCTTGCAAATGATTGACTGGGTCCCTGATTGATCCTGGGGCCAACCACTCTCCTTTTCCTCCCCTCCCAGGTGAACCAGGAGCTCCGGGAAGGATCACGACAGCAGGTAGGCATTCCCATGTACCGGCATCTGCCTGGGCTCTGCCCTAATACCGCCCAAGAAGCACCAGACTGAGAACACGATGCTTGGGCAGGATGCAGTGCTGGGCTCTTCAGTCAGCACTGAGGCAGCGGGCGGGGATTAGAAGTAACGAGAACAAGAGTCGAAGGCCCAGCCTGGCCCACAGCCTGGCCTGGGTCCCGGCACCTCTGAGCCAGGACAGTGGCTCAGTGTTGCCTGTGTCTTCTGTTTTCAGAGGGGTCGTCGACTCTCACTGTGCCAGGCCCACCAGGACCTCCTGGAGCCATGGGACCCCCAGGACCTCCAGGTGCCCCAGGTCAGTCTGTTTCCTGGCTTTGCTCCCAAACCAGCAGCAGGCCTAAGGTGCATTTCATTACTGAAATCCAGGAAAGGAACCGAGAGAGGAGTGTGGGGAGGAGCTGAGAAAGCCCCCCAGACAGGCTAGCGAGTCCTCATCACACACCAGCCAGCGTCCCCCGCACCGCACAGGCCTTGCTTCCCCAGGCCCACAGCACTGTGCAGACCGCTTTCTTAAGGTCGTGCAGCTAAGGAGTTGCCTCTCAGAAACAGCGTGATAATACGCATCAAGGGCAACAAAGATGCTAGGAATCTATCTGGAGAAATTTTCCCCAAATTATTCAACCATAATGAAATTGCTATAAAAATTTTAAAACATAAAAGCTAGTTACTAGGGGATAATAGTATTATTGTGAACAGCAGAATGCTTGATAAATCTGCTCTGTGGTTGCAATAATATTTTTACAAGATGCCAAAAAAATGTATTTTCTATTTTTTTTTTCCAAAAGGCCTGTTATTTTGATATTATATAGATGGGTTTGAACTGTGCAGGTTCACTTATACACAAACATTCTTTTGGAGATTTGTGAAAAAAAAATTTGCTAACAAACTTTATGACTTTCTTAATGACATTTTCTTGTCTCTGACTCACTTTATTGTAAGACTATAGCATATAATACATGTAACATATAAAATAGTGTTAATGGACTTATTGGTAAGGCTTCCAGTCCACAGTGTGTTATTAGTAATCACAGTTTTGAGGAAAACAAACGTTATATATGAATTTTCAACTGCACAGAGAGCCAGCGCCCCTAGCCCCCATGCTGTTCATGAGTCAACTATTTTTCCATTACCTAAAAATGTTCGCCTGTAAATGCCATGCATGATTTAACATGACTAGGGCAGGTATGGACCAGCCTTCCCTCCTCATCAACTCCAGTGAGGGCGGGGGCACTGGGGCGCGTAGAAGTCCCTCGTTGTGGAAGAGCAGTGTCTGAGGGGTGGTCCTGCCCATCCAGGGGCCCAGTGCAAGCTGGCCTCTCTGGGTTGCTGTCCACGCCTTGTGAGGACGCTAAGAGTGTACCCAGGACCCACCTGGTCTTCAGCTCTTTCTCACACGGGGACCCTGGAGATGTGACAAAGCCTTCTCTTCATTTCCAGGCCCTGTTGGCCCAGCTGGTCTCCCAGGACAGCAAGGTATGCCACGCCTGAGAGCACACCCTGGCGGTCTCAGCTGGGAAGGCTTCCTTCCCGGGCTGGACTTGGGCCCCGGTCTGTAAAGAAAGCGAGACCTGCTTTTGGGGAAGGGGGGGGGGGGGGCATGGTTCTTCACCAAGAGCTTTGCGAAGCCTCCGCTGCAAGGCGGGGGTCAGTCGAACTTGAGGCATTGAGGGTCTGTGGCCACCTGGTCAAGCCAGCTGTTTTCACTGGCCTCGGGCCTCTTGTGACCAGACCCTGATTGTGGTGTCCCAGAGACTTCTCCAGATACCAAAACACACAAGTCAGGCTGGGGGAAAGCCAGTCCACTTCCTCCTGTTAGCAGTCGATGCTCTGGCCTGCCCTGACCCAGGCAGCTGGGCTGCAGGGTCCCCGGAGGGATTTCTGCTGGAGGCATCCACCCTGACTCTCTCTCTCCCACAGGCCCGCGCGGGGAGCAAGGACTTGCTGGGGAATCGTTCATTAGCAGCACAGGCTCCATCTCTGAAGTCCTCTCTGCCCGTGAGTGTCCCCGGGCAGGTGCAGGGGGTGGGGTCTAAGGGGGGTGGCAGCGAGGTCAGGACACCGGGGCCTGTGGCAACTGCACCAGTGAGTCATCGGAGCCACACACACACACACACACCACACACACACACACACACACACACACACTCCCCTCCTCCCCCCATGCAGGTGAGGATGACAGTCCTCTGGAACACAGTGCCAGCCGAGGACAGCAGGGGCTTTGTCAGCGTTAGGGGTCCAGGAGGGCGTGATTCATGCGGATGGGGCAGCTGTCAGAAAGGTTCTCAGATTCCAGGGTCACTCAGGGCCTCCGAGTGATCCAGACACGGCTAGTGTCGCTGGCAGCAGTACTGCAGCCCCTGTCACGGAGCAGTGACCTGGGTTCTCAGCCTCAGGCCTGGCCTGGGAGGGTGAACTCCTGGTCCTCCTGTTCCCAGAGTCCGTTAAGGAGCCCAGGTGGAGAGGCTGCTGGGCCTCCACCTCAGCACCTGAGCGTCTGGACAGCTGAACCGCCAAGGTGGCAGCCATCCCTGGCCCGCTGTCATGTGTACAGACATGGCGCCCCGGCATCCCGCCGTCCTCCCGGGCCCCTGTGCTGTGGCATCTGTCCTCACGGCGCCCTGTGCCTCTGGTTTACAGAGGAGGAAGCTGTTCCTGGAAAATATTGAGAACTTGCCCCAGGTCACCAGCTGGGAGTGGTGGAGCAGAGATTTGAACTCAGGCTCTCAACACCGAAGCCATGTTCTTGCCTAGCACTTGCTGTACCCATATGAGCTATCAGGGAGTTTGACTGTGGCCCCGCCCTGCCTCTGAGCAAGGGCACCACGGCAGAGGGCGTCTGGTGTGTGGGTATGCATGCATCCCAGGGTGCCTGGCACTGACGGTCCTGGTGAGGGGAGAAGCTGGTGGAAAGCACCCCTGTGTCAGCTTTTGCTCATTTCCGTTTTCTTCTCCCTACAGAGGGTGTTGATTTACGAGGTCCCCCGGGCCCACCTGGACCACCTGGGCCACCAGGTGAGCATCTCAGGGATCTTTTGAAGGTGGGGAATCGTGGGGCACAGGGAAGCTAGGCACTTAGAGAGGACGCAGGCCCTGCTCCTAGGGGCAGGCAGGATCGGCTCTGTAAGTTCAGCATTGCCTTTTCCCCTCTCTCTCCTGCAGGACCTTCCATTCCAGGCCCCCGAGGCCCCAAAGGTGAGAGCCGTGTTGTAGGGAGTACAGGAGCCTGTATGTGCCCAGCATGCCCAGCAGAGTTTAGATGAGGCTTGATGAGCTTGGGTATTTCTTCACTCTCTTGTCATATCCCTGGAGCCTGGGGTGGGGGAGGCATGATGGCCAGAAGCTTTACACAGGATTTCTGCCTCTGCATTGGCCTGGTGGGAGGAGAGGCAGGAGGAGCCCAAGCCAGCTCTGTCCCAGCCCTGGAGCCCATCCCCTCCCCATGGGCCCCTTGAATTCACATTGTCTGGCTCATATGTATCTCACAACTCTGAGCCTCCTTCCCTCGGGCCCTCCAGGCCCCTGAGGACACCAAGGAAGAGCAGAGCTGGCATCAAGCAAAACCTGGGGTTGGGGTTGGCAAAAGCTGGTGTTCCAAGAGCCTTTGGCCAGAGATTAGTGTGTGTATCTATGAGTGACTGAGAACCCATGTGTGCGCGCGCGCTGTGTGTGTGTGTGTGTGTGTGTGAGCGTGTGTGTGAGCGCTACTCTAGGTACTGACTGTCCATTCTCACTGTGTTCCTCAGGCGAGCAAGGCCTCCCAGGGTTCTCAGCTTCAGGTAAGTGCTCAGGCCTCACCCCCAGCCCCAATGCAGGCTCTGGCTAAAGCCACTCCCAGCCCTGGCTGACTGCACTGTGTATGGTGTTGGCTTCCAGATTCCAGTTCTCTGGGATTCAACCTGCAGGGACCACCAGGCCCACCAGGACCCAAAGGTGACAAAGGTCAGTAAGGGAGCAGCCAAGAAGGCAGTGAGGAGTAGGAGTAAGGCTGGCTCCCAGAGCCCAAAGAGTGACCAGCATATATTTATTGGTGCTAAAGCCTTGAGGGGAAGAAAGGAGAAGCTGAAGGGAGGAAGGGAGGAGGATGTAAGGACACACAGTTTCTGCCCAAAGGGAGCTTATGGTATCATTGAGGAAACAGAGGCATGAGACAACTGTTGAGCCACAGGCTGATAGGTGTGGTTGGGCTTAACCAAGGAAGGCTTCCTGGAGGAGGTGATGTAAAAAGGGCTTCTCATTTTGGATTCCAGGTGATCCTGGGATTCCTGGTGGTTCATATCAAGGTAAGAACCAAAGGTGACCGAAGTTCCTTTCCTTCTTGAAGGCTGATCATTGCCAGTGAGGACATGATTCATTCATTCAGCCATGATTCAGTGTTGAATAGGCACTTTCTCCGCGTGCTAGGATCTCTGAGCTGCCTTAAGGTTACATGTTAGTGGGGCAGGAGGGAAGAACCCTGTGTGTAAAGGTGACTAGCAATGCCCATGACAAGAGATGGCGATAGAGCAAGCCCTGGGAGCTGGGGGTGTTCAGAGATGAGGGTTACTGTCGGGTGGTGAGCAGGCTGCCCAGAGAGGAGGGAGGGTTTGGCCTGGAGAGCTCCCATCTCCGTGCCCCTTGCAGACAGTGGCTGCTGCAGGCACCCCTCTCCTCCTGGGGAGCCTTCTCTTCGCCACTGTCCCTTCCGGGAAAGACCCTCCCTCCAGCTGGTGGGGGCAGTGCCTGGCCCCTTTGTCTGCCCCTAAGGTGGAGAAGTCAGCTCAGGCTTTCTCTCTTCCAGGGGGATCATCATCTGGCACCATGTTCATGCCGGGCCCCCCAGGCCCCCCTGGACCGCCTGGGCCCCCAGGCTCCCTCAGCGGCTCTGGCCAGGAGATTCAGCAGTACATCTCTGAGTACATGCAGAGTGAGTGCCGGGCCAGTCGGGCAGTGTGTGTTTGCACACGTGGGCATGTGTGCATGGGTGTGCGCAGGTGCATGCACATCTGTGCTGGAGGTCAGCAGTCTGTATGGCCAGGCCCAGGTCTTCCACCCCTGCATGCAAGACAGCAGGTCCATGAGCTCCTGCCTGCTAGCTGCCCACTCACACGACCTCAGCCTCACCCCAGTAGACACTCGAACACCCACATGCTTGTCCACTTGCATACACAGCTACACACTCACTTTCACATGTGTTAATTCCCGACCCCCTCCCTGTACTAACCATGGATGTATTTTCCACAAATGTGGGCAACAGTCCTTTGCTAAATGAGTGGCTGAAAAGTCTTATTGGTCCACAGCCGCCGAGCACCCCCTGGCCCGCTGAGGCCACTGCCTCAGTTTCTTCATCTGTAAGGGACACCGAGGCTTCCTGCTTGCCCTGCCTTGGGCCCGTGTGTGGGGGGTGGTAGGCATTTCATCCGGTGCTTCAGTCACCTCCATGGGAAGCACATGCCCGCCTGGGGACAGGCCTGACTTTGCTTTGTTTTGTTGGCAGGTGACAGTGTTAGGTCTTACCTATCTGGAGTTCAGGGTCCCCCAGGCCCACCTGGTCCCCCCGGGCCTGTCACCACCATCAATGGAGAGACTTTCGACTACTCGGAGCTGGCTTCTTACGTCGTGAGCTACTTACGGAGTAAGCCTCTCCCACCCCTGGAATGACCCTTCTCCCAGGGCTCACTGTTGTTCCCAGAACCTTGTCTCTTAACTGGTGCAGCTTTGCCTTTCTTCTGAACATGGCATTCAAATCGGACCCCGGGTAATCAGGCCCCCTGGCACTGGCTTCAAAAGGCTTTGCTCAGGTGACGAAATGCTGCATAGCCGTGTTCAGTGAGCACAGCTGAGGGCTGTGTCCTAAATATGTGAAATGGGATCCGACGGGCTGGCGGGATCTCGTAGGCCTTAGGCTAAAGCACCTCCATAGCAAACTGCATTTACCCAACAACCTTCCACCACCTTTCCATGCTTTAAAAACAACCTCCTAATGCCCCCCCCCCAGTTCATCTCCCCCGAGTGGGAACAGCCCGTTGACCATCTGTGATTCTGGAGTAAGGGGGGTACTGCTTTAGTACAGATAAGCAGGTAACCCCAGCTTCCCTTCCCAACAGCTTCCGGGTACAGCATCAGCTCGTTGTCGGCTGCCTCCATCACTTCTGAAGACATCCTGGCTGCACTGCAGCGTAAGTCTCTTGCAGGGGCTGGGTGTGGGAACCCCTTTGCCTTCTCCTGACCTCCCTTGTCAGGCATCTTGTCCCTCTTGAGCCTTGTGGGGGCTGCACAGGGGAGGTGGTTCTTTAGGACAAGGAGCCATTCCCTCACTGCTCCCAGCCACTGACGGGAAGGAGGCAGCAAATCTGGCGGCTGCCCCTCAGATACCTGGGAGCTTGCAGATTCCCACCCCACCCCCACCACCGTGGGCCCGAGAACCAGGGCTCACACTTAGCAGCCAGTCTATGCGGGAAGACCACACATCCCATGGCCCAGGCGATGCTACCACACCCTTTCCTTTCAGGGGATGAAGTGCGTCAGTATCTACGTCAGTACCTGACGGGCCCAGGAGCCGGTGGAGATTGGTCCCTCCAGTCTTTGGACTACGCAGAGCTGAGCAGCCGCATTCTCAGCTACATCTCGAGTGAGTATCTGTCCTTTGCAGGCCAGGTGGTCAGGGGTTCAGGCTGACCTTCCTTGAAATGGCCCATGACTCAGCTGCACAGACCCAGGAGTGAATGGCATTCGGAGCTATTCAAACCGAGGCTGCAGAACAGGTCAAAGAGCCTGGTGAGGGAAGCCTAAATGAGTCTTGGGCACCGTCCTTCATGGAATTTGCACAGGACACCCACACTTCTCTAGACACACAAAATACACCCACACACACTTCTCTAAACAAACACACCTCACATGGACACTTTCATACACACACATCTATACGTACAAATCACACGCACACGAATCTACACACACACTTCTGCATACATACACATACACCTCCACACATCTCTCTCTACACATACACACACTGGCAGAATGGATATGAGCCCTTTATGACCTATGCTCTTCCCAGGACTGAGGCCCCTCCTCCTTGGCATCATTACCCCAGATTGTATCTCTGCGCTCCTCTGCCTGTCCCTTCCTCCTGCCTCTTCCCTGTCTTGCTCCCACTTCTGGTTACATTGCTTATCTGGCTTCCTCTCACAGGTGTTTCTAACTGCCTTCCCTATCTCATCTGAATCTATCACAACTTGGGATTTTGTTCCTCAGGTTCTGGAATTAGCTTTGGACCTCCTGGCCCCCCAGGGCCCCCTGGCTTGCCGGGAACATCCTTTGAGGAGCTCCGCTCCTTGTTGCAAGGTAAGGCTGAGCAGGGGACATCTGTCCAAGTGGTTTGGCAGAGCTCCCTGGCCCCGGCCATGACCAACTCTTTGCTTTCCCTTGGCATCTCAGGGTCTGAATTCAGCGGCATCGTTGGGCCACCAGGTCCCCCTGGGCCACCAGGGATCCCAGGCAATGGGTGGTCCAGCATCAGCGTGGAGGACCTCTCATCTTACTTGCACAGTAAGGCGTGGAGAGCAGGGGTGAGGAGGGCAGAGGGCTGCATGGCTTTTATGAGTTAAATCCACTTACAGTTACCAAGTCCTCCTGCAGCATGTACAGGGCTGGGCCCTGCAGAGGGACATAGGAGCTTGGCGGTGCTCAGTCTGTCCCGTCAGTGGGCAAAGTGGGAGGGACAGTGCTCCCAGGTGCAGCCCTGCCCTCAGGCAGCTCATGAGCCAGTGTGTCCTCCATGATCAGGAGCCAGGCAGAGTTCAACCCGTGGGGGCAGGAGGGTTGAGGGGTGGGGATAGGATCTGGGTTGAATGCAACTCAGGATTGGGAGAGGGAGGGCCAGTCAAGGGCAGTCAATTCCCTGCTGGTGCCCTGGGTGTCAGTTGTTCCTTCCTCATCCTCTCCTTCTCAAGAGGGGCCCCTGAGCTGAGAATTCAGCATTCTCACAGGGCAACCTCTGACCTTTCTTTCTCTTGCCTCCTGTTCAGCTGCTGGCTTGTCCTCCATCCCAGGCCCTCCAGGCCCTCCGGGTCCCCCGGGCCCTCGAGGGCCTCCGGGTGTCTCAGGAGCACTGGCAACCTACGCAGCTGAAAACAGCGACAGCTTCCGGAGTGAACTGATCAGCTACCTGACAAGTAAGTGCCTGATGCTGCTGTCCTCTCTGCCCCTTCCCAGACCTTGCTTCTCCGTCGGGAGCAGGTGAAGGACCCTGGGAGGCCACATCCATGACAGGCACTAGTCAGAGAATGCCAGTGCCTTGGAGTTCATATCCTGCTCAGGAGAGTTGAGGCTCTGAGAGACCAACCCCCTTAACTCCCACTCTCCTCCACCCAGACCTGAGCTCCACTCACGCAGCTTCCTCCCCACAGGTCCCGATGTGCGCAGCTTCATTGTGGGTCCCCCAGGCCCTCCTGGGCCCCGGGGCCCACCTGGAGACGGCCGCCTGGGGTCCATGGATGGCTCCTACAGCAGCTCCTCGGCCAGCAGGAGCACCTCCTACAGCTCCTCCATGGGCGTGGGAGGAACCAGCGGCGGCTCCCTGGGTGAAGGGGGAGCCTTTGGCCCGGAAGGGGGCTTGTATGGCAGTGACAGCGACAGCAGACAGTTTGGGGCTGGCTTTGCTGGAGGTCTGGATTACAACGAGCTGGCTGTCCGAGTGTCCGAGAGCTTGCAGCGTAAGTTGGGGCACGTAGGCCTCAGTGCTGTGGAGGGTACGGGAGCATGTGAGCCTTTCCCCATCTGGGCTCCAGCTCACCCTCTGGTTTTGGAGCACCCAGGTTGTGAGGCCAGCAATTCTGGGGTCAGAAGAACGGGGATTGAAGACGGGAAGCCCCAACCTAATTCTGTCGGCTTAGTTCAAGGGGCCCCAGACAACACCTGCTGCAGGGGAGAATCTGAGCTTTGGTCTCAGAAGTCTTTGCAACGATGACCGTCTCTGCTGGGCTGAGGGGAGGTTGTTGGCTAACAGGCTTCTGATGTAAGGCCCCAGCACAGGGAAGACAAGGAAGCCACAGGCTTTTTCCTCCTGTCACTTAACCTCCTCTGACTGCGTTGGGAGCTACACAGTCGGATGCTGTACTCCCACTGTGAAGAGTGCGCCCACACTTTCATGCTTTACAGGTCAGGGCCTGCTGCAAGGGCTGGCCCAAACCATGCAGGGCCCACCAGGCCGGCCGGGGCCCCAGGGCCCCCCGGGCATCAGCAAGGTCTTCTCTGCTTACAGCAATGTGACCGAGGACCTCATGGACTTCTTCCGAAGTAAGCGCCTCCCCGCTTGTTTTCCCAACCTGTACCTTGCTCCCAGAAACCAGTCTCCTGGAAAACCCCATTAGTAACACTGAGATGCTAAAACTCTGACAAATTCTAACCTTTGTTTTCCTCTTACAAGCTCAAACTGTCTATGTGTGAACAAATCCCTTTATCTCACCAGCTTCGTGGTGACTGCTAGTCTGAGGCCAGTTTTTTCTCCTTGCAGCTTATGGAGCCATTCCAGGACCCCCTGGGCAAAAGGGAGAGGTTGGCATCGCAGGACCTAGAGGTAAGTAGTGGCAGGAAATGGCCACCAGGATCCCGTGTAACAACCTCATGCTGAAGAGCAGCTCCCTTGCCAATGCCTTGCTGGAGTCTGCCGCTCCTCCAGGCCCCACACTCTGCTTTACTTAGCACCCATCTCTCCTCCTAGGTGAGAGGGGCCCTGCTGGGCCACCTGGCTGGCCTGGGCCACCCGGCCCTCAAGGGACCAAGGGAGAAAAAGGAGACAGAGGTAAGCCTCCACTGCCACAGAGATTTGTTCCATAGCAAGCCTGGAGAATTAAGGCAAATGTGAATTACTAAAGGCAGACCCTGCCAACAATGTAATCTGCACAACAATCAAAGAGCCAGCAGGGGAGAAAGGAAAGAGAGTGCCAGTGCAGGGAGGAAAAGGAGAACCAATCTGGTATTGAAAGAGGGTAAACAGTCTAAATAAATTGATAGTCATAGGAAAGAATGTATTGATAGTCTTACGAAAGAGTGTATCTTTCAAGACAGTTTTGCAAGTAGTCACAGTTGCCATAATTGCCCACGTTAAAGCCCCCACAGGCCACAAGGTATTTTTTAACTTACTACTCATCTTCTAACTTTCAGGTGACCAAGTCTATGTTGGGCGGAGAAGGAGAAGCATCGCCACTAAGCCATGAGCTGCCTACCCTTGGTATCACATCCCCCAGACCAGTTCTTGCAATGGCTTATGGTGCTTAGGTCAAAATCTCTCCAAAGGATGAAAGCTGGAGTCTCAATGCCTACTGATACAGCACAGCCAAACAGTCAACTACACACTTATTTTAGTCTGACACAATATTCGCATATATAAATAATTCAAACACACGCCATCTGCAACAGCTTCGTTGGGTAGACTTGAGTAGCTACAGTGTGTGGCAGCAGACACACTTCTCTGCTAACTAGATGTGAGCTCCTTGGCCTCTAACGTTAGTCCAAGCACTAACCTAGGAAAGCCAGTTCCCTACGAGTTGGCTCAGCAGTCCTTGAGTTTTGCCTGTAAATGAGCCCAGAAAATGGAAGATGGGGATGGTGGGGGCTGCCTTCCTGTGGGTTACACTTAATGGGAGTGCATTCTGATTAATGCTAGAAAGCTGTCAGCTCCTTCCTCCTGTTTACTCCGCATTCTCTAGTCACAGAAAACAGTTGGCTAAGGAGCCACTCTTGCAACTGAAAAAGTTAAGAAATTCACTTCTCATGAAGGTGGCTACGGGGTTTCTGTTATTTCTCACTACATATAGTCCCACTTGCTTAGAAAGTTTGATGATAGCTGTAATCTATATCCATAGGTCTGTGCTAGAGTTTATAGATCAGCAAAGAGAAGGGCAAGGGGCAAGGAGAGAGAGAGGGAAAATAGAATATCCACTGCTGGGCCAGGGTGTCACCTGTTCTGCACTTAAGCAAATGGCATTGGGTACTGGGTGCAGTTGGTTTTAAGCGCTTTTCAGTGTCTAAAAATGTTAATGTGGTCTATTAGATGAAAAGTCATTTCAAAAGTAAAATTTCCAATTAAAGGATTTTTTCCTTTTTTAATATGTGTAATGTGATCCATCCAATGTTAAGGGGGGAAAAATATTTTGGGTTTGACTCTAACATGATTACAAAAAAATATTCTGGGACAGTTTCTGGTATTTTGTTTAATCTTTGAGATCATTAAAGGCAGACCTTCATCTGGAATTAATAATTCAACTTGGGCAATTAGAAACTAGCATTTGAAGAGTTTCCCTAAGCATAAATTACTTGAACTAAGCATATACAACAGACGAGTAACAAGATTATTTTCAGCTAATGTAGTGATTTATCCTGGGGCAAAGGAATTGTAATGGCAAAACAAATAACGCGGTATATCAAAATGCCTATTAAGGAAAAACAAACATCAAATGCCCCACAGAAATGCAAATTCAGACAAGGCTACCACTGGTTTTTTGTTGTTGGTTTTTTTTTTAATGAGTTCATAAAGCCTTCAGAATTTCAAGTTTTTTACTTCCTAATGAAAACTTATTGTATAATAAATGACTACATTGTACCTTTTTAATATTTTAGTTTTATCTAAAGTCTGAGTCCATTTAGTGTTTTTTATTTAAATACATTTTTTTATTGATTTCAGAGAGGGAGAAATAGAAACATCAATGATAGGAGAGAATCATTGATTGGCTGCTGCCTGCACACCACCCACTGGGGATCGAGCCCGGAAACCCCAGGCATGTGCCCTTGGCCAGAATGGAATCTGGGACCCTTCAGTCCGCAGGCTGAGCTCAGAGTCCTAAGACCATGTGAATTAAGTGAAAGTCCAAACCTGCTTACCTTCTCTGAATAGGACCCAGAAAAAAACAGGCGGATATGTCCTCAGGGGGAAGGCAATGACTCTGAGCCTCTTTGGTTTCTATTTTAAAAAACACACATACAAAAGTTAAGAATGAGCTCAATAATGTATGCTACTCCTGGATTAGAAAATGACATGCTTTGCCTCCCTCCAGCCAAGCTGAACTCTTACCAAATGATACTGCCTAGTGTCTACTGAATCTTGCATGAACATATCAATGACAAAAAGAGGTTATTTTTAGCAAAAGTGAGGTCATATGGCTTGTGAAATGTTTGGTGAGAAAAAGGAATCCATCCAAGGGGAAAAAGGGAAAGAAAAAATACATACATATACACGTTGATGGAAATATTTTAAGCACCTCTAATAAGTCTGAAAGGCCAGAAGACCTAGAGGACTGCAAGAGTTAAAAATGTAGACCCAAAAAAAGCTGCATGCTGTTCTCATGTATGACAATCCTGTTTTAATGATTCTCAATAAAAGCTGCTTTCTCAACACAGATTAAGAAACAACTTTATTTTCATTTGTCAATCCCATGATTGAAAAGACAAATTGCTCCCAAGTAGACAAGAGGCATAATCCGAAACAAAATTCTGAAAACTTAGTTTGTGAAGTTATTACACTGCAAATCAAAGAAGGATCACAAAAAGCTGCAGCCAACATTTAAAACTGGTATAACATTCTACCTGAAGCTTAGTAGCAGAAAGTGTAAAGCTATAGCAAAACCATGTCAGCCACAGAAAGGTAACAACAGAGGCATTAACTGTTGTGCCTTAAACTTAGCATTTAAAATATCCCATTTCCCATAAAAGAACATTTCCCAGAAAAGAATTGGTTTATTTAATCAGAGGACTATTAGCACTAGAACTAACTCTCCCCTTTCACCTCAGTTCTAGGTTTCCTTTAATCAACACTATCTCTAGCTAATCATTTGACAGAATTTGGCTTCTCAGAAGAGACTGTCATTTAAGCACAGTGTGGAATGGGAAAAAGTGTGTAGTTACAAGGGAACTTGGAAGAATACAAAAGACAGTTGCTTCTGAAACTCGCTGATGCTTGAGAAATTAGAGACCCTCCATTAAAGTGGGTCTCATATGCCTGAGAGCTTTGTGCTTGAGGAAACACTACTTAGAGGTAGCTCTGGTTCTGGTTTATATTTAACTACAATTTGCTGTATCCTGTTAGAGGAAAGTTCTAATATTTTCAGCAAAGTATATGCATTCAATTTCCTCCTGACCCACCCTATAACTTCCCCATAGAAAAAGAGTAAGAAAAAGCTTAATTGTGACTCCACATAATATAGCAGCTAATTCAGCAATTCACACTAATTCAGCAATTCACACTATATGGGTTGACAGGACTAGGAAAGGCAGTCTGGTGCAACGGGCGCTAAGAGCTAGACCTGCAGAAAGGTGGCGGTCTGGTGTGTCCGCAGCGCCCAGGGCGAAGAGGGGAGGATGAGCAATCAGGGTACACAGATGAAGAATTCCTTTTATGCATTTCACAGCACATTCTGCCACGACATCCAAAGCAGGAGCGGATTTGACTGCATTCTTTGATTTCAAAGAAGTCTGTGCCCCTCCCCTACTGCCCATCTACACTACATGCAAGAAAGAAAGATCACTATTATCTATTTGAATACAGGGCATAAGAAATGGGCAAGGATGGGTACCAACAGCATATTCTATAACAAAACAGTTAAATATTAAAATCAATGTTTCACCTCTATATATGTATCACTCTGTAGGCCTGCGGACACATGATATGGTCATATTTGAAAGAAGACAAGCATTAATACTGAATCCAAAGAGCAGTTTTAAGGGAGATACAAACAGTTGCGAATAAACTTACCAGAGTGTCAACCGTTCTACTCTGAGCCTCTTTCCTTTTCTCAATACTCTGAATATCAAGTTAAAAGGAATAAAAAGAATCAAATATTCAGACCAAATGAATTATGTGCCATAAACTATTTAGCATACAGAATATAATTTAAACGATACCAAAAAAATGTCCACTGGAAATTCCAAGGAGAGCCTTCCTTCTCTTTCCCTCTTAAAATAAATCATTAAATACACTGAGTAACTTTATACTGTAATTTTTATCATAATATAAACAATTTCCATCATCCTGAATATTACTTTATAAAGATATATATTTTAAAAGGCTTTCAAAACATTTTTCAACCCAGCATGAGAATAAAGCATTAAAGGAATTTTGTATACAGTAACACATTCATATGATAAATGTATGAATTTACAACCATACATAATATATATATGTGTGTGTGTGTATATATATATATATATATATTTATATATAAAAAACAAACTTGGCCAGAAGTTAAGGCTACCCACAAAGTTGTCCAAGTAAATTATGCTTGTCAAAACAATTATAAAATGAAAATTATACATGCATTTAAATCATCTAAACCACTGACAAAATAAGGTTCAGCATTCAAAGTTTTCAAATTAACTGCAAGAAAGTGCTACAGATATTTACATTTCCTTAATAAGTGTTCCCACAGTTACATTTAAATTTTCATCAGCATCAAATGTAATGTAACAAAAACTGAAACTTGTACAATTTTGTACCTGGTGCTCTTAAAAGAAAAAAGGTTGCAAATGGCAGGCAGCATCACTTACTGTGTCACACAGCACAGTACAGTTCACAAATCTGTTTGACCTGATGACATGTGCTTAAAATTCTAAACCTCAAGAGGGACTAAGAGTGAGCATTTCATTAATAATTATACATATCAGTAACCACATGGATATAAGTTTCAGGCTTTTCCCACTCAAACAATTTAAGCATGGAACAAAATAAAACCAAAATATAAATGACTATTTCAAAATAATTAAGTCATTTCCAACATTTGCCTAAATATTTTACTTAATTTTTTTTTAAAGTATTTTGATTAAATGCCTCTTTTAAAATCAATTTCAGAAAATATGTAACTCAGAGCCACAAGGCCTCTGACAGTTTTCAATGAACAGAATTTACTGAGATGAGAGAAATCATTTAGCTCATGTATTATTTTTAAAAATAAGCTGGGAGAGCTAAATCTATATATTTTTTTAATTTGGTGAGTAATACATATCCAATTTGAACATCTAAAAGTTCTTTTTTTTTTTTCTTTTCTGTTTCTAACCTTGAACAACACATTTAGGATGAGCATTTTTATCAAATGTTAATAGAACCAAGATTTAAAAAACAATAATGCTTAATGCTAAGGATGTTTTGTCCCTGTGGAATCAAAAAAGAAAATACTATTTTAGACACAATTGAAATTTAGTGTTTTAGGCACTATTTTTAATAAAACGAGCACCCTTGAATACTAGCTCAGGCCTAAACATATAATTATATTAGATTACTGAAATAATTTTTTTCTTTTAAAAGAGTGTGTTGATATTTAAAGATAAAATTGATTTAATGAATCAGTATTATATTTTGAGCAACTTATAGCTTTTTCATGAGAGCTGATTCACCCAGAGAAAATTATTCCAACTCTCTACAGCAGAGTTCCAAAGATGTTTACTAATACTCGGTGACATAACAAATTTTTTAAAATAACTTTAAACATTATACCTCTAAAAGTTTTTTAGGTAACAGCATCTAAAGAACACAATATTTAAGATTAATACTAGTATACAAAATCACCTTAGGGAATTACTGCAAAATGCTTCTATGCCAACATGGCCCAGCATCTGTCTTAGTTCCTTTCCCTTCATCTTTGCTAAATAAACAAGATAAACAAACAAAAAACTTGTAGAAGGTGAGTTTGGTGATTGTCTTCGTGCACTCTCTATGTAGACTGTGGCAGAAGATGAAGAGAAAAAATGACATATTTCAAAAGCCAAACTAGACCACAGAATACTTCTCATTGTTACGATCCAGTGGAATGCAAGCTAGGGATAGGATAGAACTTGGAAATTCGGCTCTGTGTTGATGGGTTAAGGCATTCAGACTCCCCAGTCATTTTAAAGAACACTTCCTGTTCCTGCAATTTCCTGGCAAATTCTTCTTCCAGTGTCTTAAAAAGGAAGGGAAAAGGAAATTATATAGTGGTATTTCAAACAGAATTTACTCTGGTGGCCAAGATAAAACTATTTGCCCCAAACACATTCTCTTTATATTATCCTATGGAAGGACAGGCTGCTCAATAGTTAGGGTCAAAGGCTGGGCACAGCCCTAGGTTCAATTCAAGTCTTGGCTCAGCCAAACTAATGGCCAACTTGGGTCAATTACTTATCTTCTCCATCTTACAGAATCATTTCATTCTTCAGCTATAAATAGGGAAAACACCACCTACACCTCACTGGGTTGCTGTGTGAGGATTAAATGTGATGATGATGTACTTGACACATACTTGGTACTCAATAGATGGCACCTACTATTATCTGTAACTCCATGTGGACTTACCATTTTCTATTTTTTATTTTGATTATTGATGTGCATGTTTTTTCTACCACACTGGACTATAAAATGTTTAAAGTTAAAACCTAAATCAGATTCAACATTATATCCCCATAATACATAGCAAATATAAGTGTTTGACAAATATCTGAGATATCATTGACTTTGCAGAAAAGTGATTCAGTGATTGCTACAGAGGTATGATCAAAGTATAGAAGAAGATGGAAGGACACAAGGTTTCTCAGAAAAAATGAAACATGAATTTAGTCTTGAAGTCAAGATAAGAAATTAATAGACAGATGGGAAAGGCATGCCAGACAAAGGGAGATGAAATAAGACAGAGGCAGGAAACTGCAAAAATGATTTGAGTAATAGTAATTATACCCTATTAGAGGCTTGGTGCATGAATTCGTTACACCAGTGGGGGCCAGGCCGAAACCAGCTCTCCAACCGCAATCCCCCAAGGGGTATTAGATTGTGAGAGCGCACAGGCCAGGCCGAGGGACCCCCACCAGGGCACGATCAGGGCTAGGGAGAGAAGCAGGAGGTTAGCTAGCCAGAGAGGGACCGCAGGTGGGCTCCAGGGCATGTCCAGCCTGTTTCGCTCAGTCCTGAATGACCGGACTCCAGCAGCAAGCTAACCTATCGGTCAGAACGTCTGCACCCTGGTGGTCAGTGCATGTCATAGCAAGTGCATGTCATAGCAAGTATCAGAAATGTTCTTAAGGGTAAATATTCTGGTGATGGTAGGCAAGTAGGAAAAAAGAAAAGGAGCTAGAGACCAGAAGGCCCATTAGTATATTATTGAACAATGTTAAGCAAGTAGTAACAAGATAATATGAAAAGAGAAATATTATGATTGAATGTAGGGTATCATGGAAATGAAAAATAATTCAGGTTTTTAGCCTAGATGGCAAGAGAACAGGAATGCGGAAAGAACATCTGTTGGTGAAGGGAATAGAGAGAGGGGAAAGGGATGACGCATAGATGAAGAAAAAAGGATGTTAAGTTTAGTTTTATCTCCACAGAGTTTACAATCTTTAGTCAACATTCAACAGGTGTGTAATGATCATTATAATGTGCAGGAACTATTCTAAAAGTTAGGGATGTATCAGTGACCAAAGCAATAATATCCTTGCTTTCAAGGAACCTACATTCTTGTGAGAGAAAACAAACAATAAACAAATGTATCTGGTGGTGATGAATGCTATGAGGAAAAACAAAGAAAGGTGAGGGGATAGAGTGTGTTTGAAGTAGGCATGAAGTTTATTTTCTATATAGCGATTCAAAAAAGAACCTTTGACGAAATGATATTGAAACAGAAGCCTGAATGAAATGAGAAATGGAACATCAAGGTGGAAAATGGGAGCTCTGAGAATGAACCAATAATAATAAAACAAACAATAGTAGCAATAATAACCATTCATTAAACCCTGACCACGCTCAAGTACTGGGACTACTGCTGTGCACGCAGCACTTCTTTTAACTGTCTTAACCCCACTAAGAAAAATTTTTCAAATAAGGAGAACTAGACTTAGAAATGTTAAATAACAAAATTAATCAGTGTCAACACTGATACTTGAATCCAGATCTGTATGACTTCAGAATTTGTGCTCTATACAACCCCTACTATACACGTTTGGGGATTATCCTTAAATATGCAACAGTTTAAGTCATGACTAGCTATAAGAACATCAAGATAAAGGACAGAACTAAGGATGTAAAACTGGGAAATGTCTACACTTCAGGTGCCTGGATGACAAAAGGTGATAAAGAGCACAAAGAAAAGAGTGTATCACAAAAGTCAGGTGAGAAGAGAATTTTAAGAAACAAGATTTATAATCAGAACCATTAGATAATGTCATAGGACCTGGTTATTACCAACTCACTTTGTGACCTGTTAAAGTTCAATTTGGGAGTCTGAAATGAAAGCTAGACTGCAAAGAGTTAAAAGAAACTAGAGAAAGAGACTTCTTCTCACTGTTTACCCTTCCATGCCTTTTGAATTCTGAACCTTGTGAATTACCTATTCAAGAATTTAAAAATAAAATTTAAATTAAAAGCCACACTATCAATTGACTTGGTCATTTCACTTCCTCTAGAAAAGTTAACAAATAATAGGTGCTAAATTCATATTCTGTAATTCACTGATTGGATGAATAGAAGAAAGGAATGGTTGAAATGTATAGCAGGCAAGAAGCCCGAGAGGAAATACAGCTTTAAGTTTGAGAGTTAACAAAGGGAAAGGATCATATAGTGATAATAAGAACTGAATGGTTGACCAACTGGACCAGGCTATCAAACAGTCAAGTGCAAATAAGGAAAATGGGTAGCTGGTTAGATAAAGACAGGGAAGCCATTCCTGTTTTATTAGATTGTCAATTTACATAGCACCCAATGGCCTTGCATTCTGGCTCTGTTAACCTGTCTAGACTAAGCTGTCATTACTTCCTTCCTTCTCCCCCTTTCTAATGCCTACACATAGGAACACACTCCCCCTATAGCGAGCTACTTACAATTTCTGTACACATTACCTTCGGTCATTTTCTTCTCTGTGACTAAATTGCCTCGTCCCACCACGATCTGTCTGTCCACCAGGAAGCTCTTACTCATCCTTCAAGCCCCTCTTGGCTTACAAAGCATCTCCTCTCAGAAGCTTCCCTGAGTCCCCCTCTCCTGAAGACCTAAGCACTCCTTCTCCTTGGCTTGCACACTGTGCTCCTCTCCCCTGTATCATGAACTTAACTCCTTCGGTAGATTAATGATGGTGACCTGTAATTGCTTGTCACCAAATTTTGAACCTTTGGGGGACAGAGATTTTGTCTCCTCTCCCCTGTATCTCCTGCATCTGATACTCATTAGGTAAAGAGCCAATAGCTGAGAGGATGGCTGGGTGGGTGGGTGGACAGATGCAAACATTTTAATTAAAGTTTTTAAAATTACCTTTTTCCTAGGTCTCAATTTCTCTCTCCATTCCTTTAATTCCTGGCTGTGCTCCTCATCTAACTCTTTTAGTTTCTGAGTCTCATGCTCAACCAATAGATGGCATTTTTCATTCTGAAAATAAAGTTTGGGTTAAAAAAACTTCAGATCAACAAAGTAACTTTTCACAAATACATTATCTTTCAAAATTATAAATTATTCATCAAACACTAGGCTATTACTGAGATTCAAATTCTCCTCTAAAAACCAAGGGCCAAGAATTAGGAAATGAGTCACAGCTTCATCTTTGCAAGTTGAGAAGCCAGGTCTATTACCACATGAAAAGAACTTAAATAGGTAGCATTGGTTTGATCCTGCTTTTCCTTTCTAAGGTTTACTCATAATACTGACACTCCAGAATGCAACTTGTATGCATTTTACCCATTGGTACCAGAATATGGGTTTCAGAAATCTTCTGGTAAAGTAAGTAAATATGTAGAGTATCCAAAATGCATAGTATACTACTCTGAAATTCTAAACATTTTAGTCCAGTGGTCGGCAAACTCATTAGTCAACAGAGCCAAATATCAATAGTACAACAATTGAAATTTCTTTTGAGAGACAAATTTTTTAAACTTAAACTTCTTCTAATGCCACTTCTTCAAAATAGACTCGCCCAAGCCATGGTGTTTTGTGGAAGAGCCACACTCAAGGGGCCAAAGAGCTGCATGTGGCTCGCGAGCCACGGTTTGCCGGCCACTATAAAATTAGGCTACCTACTAGATGGGTTGTGTATTCTAGGTAAGATTCAGAAAAAGTCCTCTCTAAAATAATCTTTAAATTTCTTAGAAAAAAATTCTCATATATTTAGTTTATCACCTTTCTTATAAACCTAGGAGAAAATAAACTTATTTCTCCCTAAATGAAATTTCAAATTCAGAATCTGGTAACAAAACTGCTTACATTATTTTGAAAACTTTATCTTCTTTGCAAAATATACTAAAAATACTCAATACTACTTTTGAAAGACTCAAATTCTTAGGTTATAATTTTGTTTCATGCTATATTAGTTATATAAAAGTCCAAACAAGTTCCTATGATGCTAAAGTGGTCTTATTTTCTGTCTGTAACAGAAAACAGGTTTCAGTATTTTCATGAGTAAAGTGAAGCTTACTTTGGTTAGCTATTATTTTCCCACACCCGGTGCTGCCCATCTATGACCAGCTTTGTCTTAGAGCTTCCATATCTAACCTGCAGCTGATGCAGCTCTCGGACATTGGCTTCACACTGCAACTGAAGATCCCGCATTTGATTTTCATGTTTTTGATGCTGAGCCATCCTCTCATTTTTCTGCCTCTTTTCTTCTTGAGCAGCAAACTATAAATAAGAAAAATAAAAGCAAATATGGTTAACAAGCTATGTAACTACTGTATCTTCCAAAGGTATAATTAAGAAATTTACCAAAGCTTATAGTACAATAAATTAAAGCTGCATGTAATAATATATTGTGACTCAAGCTGGAGTCTATTTTATGGGAGGGGAGGACTTCTGATTACAACCTTGTTCCTCCTATCAGCTTAAGGACTGACCTCAGTTAATTTGTGTGTGGAACTTCTGAAATATAGTGAGGTCATATGTTTTTACTTTAAAAGCTGTCCAAGACATCTCATTCCCAGGGCTAGTTTTAGGACCAGTATAACCCAGGACCCGGTGTGGGGCATGGGAGGGAAGGCTCTGCCCTCTGTGGCCATCACCCTAGGAAGAAAGACTAAATTGGTACATACCACATATCTAGCCCCAACCCACAGAGCCATAGTGAACATCAATAAGTGTAAGCTGCCTCTAAATGTTTACAACACTATCATGTGACCCTTCTAAAAGTCACTCAAATATTCTTAACCTGAAAAAGAAGACAGTAATTTGCTTATTTACCTGCTTAATTTTTTCACGGTCCTGATCTGGTGTGGCCGTTGAGTTAATTCTCAAACTTTTCTTAAACATGGCCATTCGAGTCTTGGCTTCACTACGCTGAATCTTAGGCAGTCTTGCTCTTTCTTGAGTCTGTCTATTTTTCAATTCCTCAATAAGTCGTTGATTGTAACGCTGCATTTGTTCTGTTTCCTAAGAAAGTTTTAAACAGAATCCAGTTGATGTAGATATAACACTCAGTACCCCTGCATATGTTCAAACATGCCATTTTGTTGTTGTCATTTCCCAAAATTACTCTCTCCCTTACTGCATAAAAATCAGCAAAACATTAGCCAAAAAATAACTTCTAGGAAAGATGAGCTATTTGTAATAATAGTCTTATGTTGACACTCTCTTCTACTAAGTATAGGGAGTCCACATTTTTAAGATACATGAACCATTTTGAGAGACCAAGATGAAGATTATCAAGTCCATTAGGCATTATAATTAGTTACCTTCCATGGAATATGTAGAAAAGAAGTTTGCAATCAGGATCAACATACAATTAATTACTTCAAACTTCATCAAAGACATTTTAAGGATAAAATAAAGAAATCTGAAATGCATTCTCTAAGAAGTGTAAGTTTCAAAACTGAAATCCTCACTCTGCAAACTTTAAAATGAACAAAAAAGTAAATAAATTTTCCTTTCATTAACCTTCTCATGGCGCTTCAGTAACTGATGTCTTTGCATGAAATACTGATCTTTAAGTTGCTGTTTGAGCAGCTGGTGTTTTTCTTGTAAGTGTCGTTCTTCAAGCTCCCAAATTGCAGCTTCTCGAGCTAGAAGAAGAAAGCAATTTTCAAAAATGTCACTTTGATCTTTTTACTAATGTACTTTGGATTTCATTTTTTTACACAAATTTACATAAAAGAGATCTATATACACTTACATACAAGCTGACATTCTGAGCTATAAATAAAATATTACCGATGTAAAGATAACATCTATTACTACCTTCAGTTCTGTTCTAATGTCCTATAACAGAGAATGCCATACCCCTTATCCCAAAATTCTATTTAATCATCTTCATGAGAAATTAAAAAAAAAAAATCTAAGCTATTTCTTAGGGAAAATAAATGGTTAAAATCCCATCCTATCATGTAGCCATTAAGTATACCAACAATTATAAGATATAATAAGTATGTAAAATTATTCAGGTATATTTCTAGCATCATCTGGACAAAAAGATGTTTTAAGGAATATATTTTCACTTCTACTGTCATAAAGGAATACTATAACTCACAGTATTTTATCATTTTTCCTATTATTTACCTCAACTTTATCTTTCTCTCTATCACTCTAGCAAAGGAAAGCATTAAAATAATTTTTAAGGTATTATATAACTCCACAATGTTTCTGAGACATCACTTTATATGTACACATATGCTGCAAAATTTCATATACCTCTCATGAGTTGCTGCTTGTTATTCAGGCACTCTCTCTCAATATTGGCTAACTCTGCCTTCTGCTGCTGGATGATCTTTTTCAGAGAGCCATCTAATTCTTGTTGTTGCTTCTGAACAAACTCTTGTTCCTATTAGACATAGTTAACTATCAGTTAATAAGTATTTACTGAGAAAAACATCCATTTATCTGTATGATTGTATACATTAAAGGTTATCAAGATTTCTAAACCAAGTTTTTAAAGTAAGTGAAATTTTTTAAATACCAAGATTATATAGTATATATATATATATAATTTTCTCAATCACCCAATTCAAGCCTAGAAAAAAAAGAGTATTAGAATAATGAAATACATATTATTCTAAATTCATCATTAAGACTACACATACAAAAGTCTATCATCAACTCATAATTAAAATGCCCTGTTATACTGACATCTTTGGGAAAATAAACTTACATCTTCTAAAGCTAACTATTTCAGTATGGTGTGGATAAAACAAGAACAAACAAGAAATGACTTTTAGGAAGAAAGGCAATAAACAGCAAATAAGTAAAACAGATGTCAGAATTTTAAACGCTATTTTTCTGACAAATAAAGAGTTAGAAAGAAATACCATGCCTATGCTAATAGAGAAAGATAGTTTCTGTATCAACAGCCTGTGCTTAAAAAGAACAATAGTGTGAGGACTTAATAAGAAATAGTACATTGCTAGAGAAATGTGAACTAGGAATAGGAAAGTGAGCTACATTTATAAATCTATAAACAAAATTCCTTATAATCAGAGAACTCTTCTAAAATTTTTGGGATTCACTCACTCATTCACTCACTGAGTACATACCATATACCTAAATACCAAATTTATGCTTTAAAAATATCCTTTGGTTACTTTGTAAGAAAGGATAAAGTGACTTATGATCTTTATGCTAGAAGATTTACAGAAGAAAAGGAACAACATCCAAATTGAAGAAATGTAAATTTTGCCCAGGAAATGTTTGGATCTCTACCCCTCTCTTGGCAGTTAGAGCAGTTTGTGATCAGCTCAAGGGATATTCATATCAATTTGAGTATAGATTTAAAAATTTAGTGTTGAAGCACCATTTCTCCTATAATTCCTCCTCTTGCACATCCTAGAGAAGATAAAACCCTAACATCCTTTTGGAACTAATTTTTGGCCCTCAAACAGAGTCTCATAGATCTAAATCACAACCAGCCTGGCCTTCAATAAACAAAGAACAAGTCTAGCAGTGTTCCTCAAGTCCCTGCATTACTACTGTCCCTGGAGGTGAAGATCAAGTCTTACCATTCAGGACATCCTGTAATTCAGAGTCACAAAAGCTGCTGTTTCATCTGCAGCATAATTTGTATTTTAGCACTAATATGCAGTAGCAAAAGACAAAAGAATTGCTTCTATAAAATAAAATTGTCAACTTAACTACGGATACCTATATAACTTTATCACAGCAAAAAATAAAGTAAAACTAAATAAATATTTAAATTCAACTACATAGAATAAGGTCTTTTGAGTTTTATTTAAAGAAATGCAAAATTGTCATGCCTATCTTTTATGCAGTTACAACAAAGAAAGTTGTTCAAGCTTCCCTTTGAGAGTCCTACAGCAAATATCAATTGTAATAAAAATTAAATTGTTTCTCTAAATTCATTATAAAATTTCTATATGCAAACTTATTAAATAAACTTACATTAGCTGCCAGACATACCAAATGGTTTTCTATTGTTCAATATTTTTTGTCATTGGTTGGCAAAGAACCTAAAAAAATGTGTGTGGTCCTGGCCAGGTGGCTCAGTTGGTTGGAGCAATGTCCTATACCAGGGGCAACCAGCCTGCCTGCCTTCCTTTCTTCCTTCTCTCTCTCTCTCTCTTCCTTCCTCTCTAAAAATCAACAAAAAGACATATCCTCAGGTGAGAATAAAAAATATATATATTTATGCCGAAACTGGTTTGGCTCAGTGGATAGAGCGTCGGCCTGCGTACTGAAAGGTCCCAGGTTCGATTTTGGTCAAGGGCATGTACCTTGGTTGCGGGCACATCCCCAATATGGGGTGTGCAAGAGGCATTTGATCTATGATTCTCTCTTATCGATGTTTCTAACTCTCTGTCTCTTTCTCTTCCTCTCTGTAAAAACTCAATAAAATATATTAAAAAAAATAATAATAATAATAATAATAATATATGTGCAGAAACACTGGATCCAAATTAACCAACATAAATATAAATATTACATTTAGACTCAAAAAAATAAAGTGCAAAAATAAAAGATGGGGCAAATTTATTTGTACATATTTATATTGAAAATTAAAAAGATATATGCAAATTGGTGCCACTCATGCAATTTCTTGTCAATGCCAATTTTGGTCACATTCTGTAATATTATTGTATTAATATGTCTAGATAAACAATATAAGAATTCCATTAAAAGAAAACCTTTAAGTATGCAGTGGGCCCTTCTCTTAGTATTACACTTTCAAAGTTCAACAGTAGCCCTAGTCAGTTTGGCTCAGTGGATAGTGTGGGCCCTCAAACTGAAGGGTCTCAGGTTCGATTCCAATTAAGGGCATGTACCAGGATTGCAGGCTTGATCCCTGGCCCTAATCAGGAATCATGCAGGTAGCAACCAATTGATGTGTCTCTCTCACATCAATGTTTCTCTCTATGTGTCTCTCCCCTCCCTTTCATGCTAAAAATCAATGGAAAAATATCCTCGGGTGAGGATTAACAACAAAAAAAACATCACCACCAGAAATCATGATACACAATGAATGACTGACAGAGCTACAGAAGCATGCTATGAAGCAGCTAATAGTAAATGAAGACAAAGAAGAGCTAAAACTGCCTATGGAAGCAGGCAGAACTAGCAGTGCTCTGGTCCAGAAGTTAAAATATGAGTCAACAGGAAAGAGTCAAGGTAGCAATTACATGGCAGAGCTTCCTAACAACTAGTTAGCAAAAACACAAGCTGTTTCACAGAGCTATGGACTTGAATAATTAAGCAGAGTCTGAATGATTACACAGTCAAGGATAATGCATAGATAACTGTTTATATTAAAGCTAAAAATTACCTGAAAGGACTTTTACATACTAATAAATATATTTTAATACCTCAAAAGAAATGAAATTTTAATATTATTGAGCTTTCATTAAATTTCCTAACTCCACAAACCAAGTACAATACATTCACAATTAAATTTTTTAATTAGAAATTACTCTTAGGCTCTAAATGAAAAGTGATGTTACATTCCAAAAAGACTGTACAAATTACATTTATCCAATAAAAAAAATTGAGATGAATCTCATCACTGGAAGTAAAAAGTATTTTTTAAAAGGACACATAAATTGTAATATAAGTGCCCATTAAATGTACAAGTTTGAATTTTGATAAGTACTTTTATCATATTAATCACATAGCTATGAACATGAAAAATACAACTTTGTGTTTTAGAAAACTGTAAGAAAGGGTTATAATATATTGGGCTATTTGTACAGAATTTGATCATTTTAACTCAAAAGAAAATCTAAAAAATGGTAATGATCAGAAAAGTGATCGTAATTCATAATTTCTCCCTCTCGTTAAAAAAATTAATGTTTTGCTTACTCTTTTAGAAGACTATAGAGTCCAACAGCTACCAATAAAAAAATTAATCTAATTTCAGGAGAGGGGAAACAGGGGGTTGAAATCAAGCTGTATTCTATCTATTCCAGTTGTAATATGTCAAACAAAATTATAGTGTTAAATGAACTAGTCACTTCCTATAGAAATTGTGAGAAAGAATACAGCCTGGAATTCCAGACTTAATTTAAAACTACAAGAAGAATAGCAACTCACTATTCATTATGGACAATTTGAATAGTGAAAACTACAGTTAAATGGAACTAAAATCACCACTTTTAATATGGCTTTTCTGACCATATCCATAATTAAAACAGCTACATAAACATATATGCAATCAAAATGTCACTTCACACCAAGATAAAAATCTAACCACAGCATTCAATTTCTCACATGTGCAAAGTTCATAAAATACTTTTGGGAAGGTAATTCTTAAAAAATATGAAAATCTCAAATGAAAAATTGTGGTGGAGAAGATAGAAAAAGAACACTGTATTAGAAGTGTTCTAGTTCTAATCTCTTTGAGACTTTAGGCAGATTACTTAGACTTCTATGCCTTGATTTCTTCATTTGTAAAATGAATACACTCCATCCCTACATTAGGGTGGTGGCAGTGGGAATCAAATGTGAAAACTGAAGAATACTGTACTAGAAAGGTCATGTCACGTTATTACTGTTATTGTCATTATCGACATTATCATCAATCAATCTTCTAAGATTGTAACAAATAAAGCTAATAATGAAAGGCACATGTGAGCCAAAGAAAAAGCAGGTAGAACAGGAGAAGGCATCCTCCTACAGGCACATGGGACTTACATCCTGTATTTGGGCGTTGAAGACTGCACAAGATGACAACTGAAAAGACTGAATCATGACCTGAGCAAGACCCTGTGGATCAGAATACAACGCACCTCCCAGGTGAGAATACAGCCGAATGACTTTTTATAAATGGAAAAAAATAATTATACAAATGCTGAATTTCTTGAGGCATGGTACAGAAGGGCCTCTTTCTCCTCTGCAAAATGAAGGATTTGAACTAGATCAATGGTTTCCAAACTCTAGTTTGCTGGCATTTTTTAAAAATCAGTCAAACCCTCTTTTAAAAAACTCACCAAAAACACATAAAATTTATAAAACAGATAAAAAGTGGTGCTGCTTGAGTTGAAGTGGAAGCAGGGGCCGAGATCTTACTTTCTGAAAGATTCTCAAGGTACTTCTTTCTAAACTCAAGAGCTACTGGAAGCACAATTTGAAAACCACTGGACCAGATGATCAAATACATTCTAGCTCCATGAATATATGGCTATTATTTATAAACACTCAAAAAAAGTTTAAAATAGATTCTGTAATCAAGTTTTAGCACCTTCATTAAAAGCAGTAGCTAAAGAGAAATACCTGAAATTTGTTATACTAAATTCTTCATTAAGTTTACAAAAACAACTATTACCTTCAGCTTTCACTGGAAAATATAGGCTAACACCCAAAATTATATGAATAATCACCAACAAAGTTTTATTAAAGTATAGGATGACCTAATTCATTCAATGCTAAATTCTCAATTTCAACTCTATTGTCTGATATATTACCCTTTGAAATTTAAAAAGTCTACATTCCTTTACAAGGCAAAAACTGTATTATTATCTGATTAGGCCAACAATCACTAAGCTAAGCTGGTAAGAGTTTAGATTGGGCACAAAAAGGGTAGCTTGAATATGAGAGACAGTATGTTATCATGGTTCAATGTGGAACCAAACTTGGCTAGACAAGTACTCTGGTTTTACCATTAACCAGATGTGTGATCTAAGAAAAGTCACTCAACCTTCCTGAGCTTTTAATTTCCTTGCTGTAGAATGGAGATAATTAGAGAAACTACCTCATATGTTGTGAGGTTAACTGAGTTTATACAGATAAAGCATTTAGAACAGTGCTTGATACATAGTAAATGCTATGTTTGCTATTTAGTGATCTCCATATCAGTCAAGAGAAAACTTTTCACTATTAAATTTTTTAATTCTGAGACGTTTATTCTTCTTTATGGTATTAAAATAGTCTCTCTTTTGAAATGATGGTGACAAGTAAATGGTAGTTTTAAAATATCCTTACTTGGCAAAAATTAAAAAAAAATTGTAATGGCAATCCATTTGTCATGGCCCCCAATGTTTTTTTTTGTTTATATTATATGTTTCTTTTCATGGGTCTATAAAGTTTAAAAGTCTGGGAACCACTTCTGAAATTATATAAAACCGTATTAAAAAGATAATATAGCCGAGACCGGTTTGGCTCAATGGATAGAGCGTCGGCTTGGGGACTGACGGGACCCGGGTTCGATTCTGGTCAAGGGCATGTACCTTGGTTGTGGGCATATCCCCAGTGTGGGGTGTGCAAGAGGCAGCTGATCGATGACTCTCTTCATCGATGTTTCTGGCTTTCTATCTCTCTCCCTTCCTCTCTGTATAAAATCAATAAAATATATTTAAAAAAAAAAGATAATATAGGCAACAATTAATATATAATCCATTTATGTTCTTCCTTTCATTGACATATGTAACCATAAATTGAACTCACTTTTCTTTGCCTCCAAGTTGAGTGAAAACTTAAAGAAAGATGATTCCTAATATGAAAAACATTGTAGAGTCACAATAAATAATTTATATAAGAATATATTGAAGCCCTGGATGGTTTTGCTTAGTGGATAGAGCGCCGGCCTGGGGACTCAAGGGTCCCAGGTTTGATTCCGGTCAAGGGCATGTACCTTGGTTGCGGGCACATGGAGGCAGCTGACCGATGTTTCTCTCTCATCGATGTTTCTAACTCTCTATCCCTCTCCCTTCCTCTCTGTAAAAAATCAATAAAATATATATATATTTTTAAAATATATTGAAAATACTAATTCATCTAATTTAATAAAGAATTCACTCATATTAATTGGCTCAGCCTTATAACCTAGAATCAAATTTATATGGGTTAAAATATTTTTTTAACTGCTAGATTCTGAGTCAAAAAGAAAAAACAATAGACTTATATTTAAAATTGGGCTCAGCCAGTGTGGCTCAGTAGTTGAGCATAGGCCTATGAACCAGGTAGGTCAGGATTCAATTCCCTGTCAGGCCACATGCCCCCAGGGTTGTGGGCTTGATCTCCAGCATGGAGCATATTAGCAACTAAAATGTCACCATTAGAGTGCCTTTAGAAACTACCTAAAGAATGCCCTGGGAACCTTTGTATGACATACAAAGTTAATAACACATACACTTAGAAATTACTCTTCCAACCATGATTTATTGAGCTGTTAGGATAATGCTGCTTTCTGTTTTTAGTAGCATCAAGCTGCTGCTGTTACCTGAGCATGCTGGGTTTGTGCAAGCTCCTCTTTCCTGCGTTTCATGAGCTCTTTTCTCAGCTCTTTGGGTGCACTCTCCACTTCATTTATAACCTACAGTGTATAAGCATGCAGGAGGTGGGGAAATAATACTTTCTCCACGGCAAGTATTTATGTGAGCAGACAAGCTACAAGCCAAATATTAAAGCTGTTAAAAAGTTGAACATGCATTATTAGCATAGGTGTTAGTTTGATGGAAAAGAATGAAAGGACAGAACATGCTTAATCTCAGTGCAGAAAAGGGACATTATGCCATGTAGAATTTGCTTAGTAGTTGCTTAATTATCCCTGTATATCATTCCCTCTAAAGACCCAAAGATAATCAATAAAGGATTACTTACAGTACTGATGCTGAATTAAGATAATAAATTCAACTGACCTTCTTGAAAAATCATAAAATTATAAGCATATCTATTGACACTGTTTGAAATATTGGGCATTAAGGAAAGCTAATGCCCCTTATAGAAGGGAAACATTTCATAATTAGCTTGATAATTTTAAATAAAACCCACTCAATGAGATCAAAAGAACAATGGGGTAAGTAAGCCTTAGAACACACAAAGGAGAAATAAATGGATACCACATTTTCTTTTTTCAGAAAACACACCATTTTATACACGGTGTGAAAAAAATAGATATATCTGACACTTTTGAGTTAGATTAAAATGACATTCTCCTTTGCTGATAATTTAAGCCAAACTTAATTGTCAAGTTTAAAATGAGCACTCATAAAATAAGTTTAATTTGCTTTGACTTATTATAATCAATAAAACATAACATAAAATGCAATATATTTTAGAGTTCTTTCTTTTAAATCATTTCAAAATTCTGGATATGTATTCCACCTAAAGACAGACCTGTAATCCAACTATGAAAAATGATCATGTATTCACACAAGTAGAAGCACCAAAGCAACCAGATTCCAAATCACCACATGCTATTGATGGTTTGTGAAAGAGAATGATTTTGATTTAACAGTGTACTTAAAATTTCCCATCAGTAATTCCTCATGAAACCAAATCACCATGAAAAGGAAGAGACTCCCCAAATGCAAGAAGTTCAGTGATAAGGAAAAAAATACATAATATAATTATTTAAAATATGCATTATCATGATCTCAAACATATTCACTGGCTAAAATTCCCTTACCCAAAACAGTAATAATTAGAAGCTCTTATGTATCTAGGATTAAATCACATATTTATCTGTAAAATTTTATTTATTTAATTTGATATTAAAAATAACCTCTCACTTAGCTGGTATGGCTCAGAGGTTGAGCATCTACCTATGAACCAGGAGGTCACAGTTCAATTCCTGGACAGGAAACATGCCCAGTTTGTGGGCTTGATCCCCAGTAGGCAGGAGGCAGCTGATCAATGATTCTCACTCATTACTGATGTTTCTATCTCTCTCTCCCTCTCCCTTCCTCTCTGAAATGAAAATATATATATATATTTTTTTAAATAACTTCTCAATGAAAACTACCCATGGTTTCAAGAGAATTAACATGTAGCCTCAGTAAAAGTCATACACCATGATATACAAAGCCATTTTATGTATAATATAATGACAAAACAGTAATTTTAAGAAATGATAGCCACTTCAAATTATATACCATTTCATTCATCTTTACCTAAAGAAATCATTGAACACACTATATTTATTAATGTTTGATTCTATCCTTTTTAAAGTAGATCCTCAAGTTCAGCAATATGAAGTTCAATTTTCTGCATAATTTAAATGTTCAAGTCAATGGAGCTGGGTATTTGAAACATACAAAGTGAAAATGCATTCACTAGTTTAGTTGAGTTGTTTTGGTTCCAATCTAATACAAAAAACATAATTATTGTTCCTGGGTCCTTTAGAATCATGAAAATGTATCTTCTCCTCCTACACTAAAGGTACAAAATAAATGATAAAATTATCTCTGAAAGCTGCTAATATATTAAGTTCTCTCAGTTTGGGAGAAAAAGACATACTAATCCAATATATAAATCTTCTTTCTCAATCATTGATAATCTTTCATACTACAAACAAGATTCTACCACAATATGGAACAGTTTCAGAAAAAATGAAAAAATTCATCCTATTCAAATCACTTTACAGGTGTTTTCTATCTTTGATTCTTCAAAGTATCTTACAATTTGATGAATTTATAGATAGAATTTTGAATTTCAGATTATTTAGCTTTTGTTTTGGTACAATGTCAAAGATAGGCAATCAAGTTAATAAAGAGAATTTTAAGTATGAATTAAATATTGCCTCCTACAAACACAACACTGTTTTCTTGAAAAAATACATCTGTAGTATGCCTTAAATGCTGTATTAATAAAAAAGAAATGATAATATGGAAGAAAAATGAAGATTTGGCTCAACGTGTAGTTGGATATTTACTGGCAGATTGTGAACTTGAACAGGCCATTAAAACCTCTTCTACTCCAGCCCCTGAGCAATAAAATGGGTTAACATCTGACCTTACTACTAACCTACATGACTGTTGGGAAGATAACAACAAATATAGAGAGAGTCCTATTTAACTAGTAAAGGTAGCTTTAATAATTAAAAACAGTATTTACACTTACCTCCTTTTTTCGGTTCTTCAATATATTCTGAAATTTGGACAATTCTCTCTCTTGTTCTCCTTTAATGCGTTTAGCTTCATCTCGCAAGCGATTTGTGTGTTCTTGTTCTAGACGTTCAATAGTCTGTTTCTGCTGTTTTTCTAGATTCTCAATTTCTTGGTCATATTGTCGCTTTTTGCTCTGTAAAACAATGTAGCTCAAGATCATTTTATTTTTCTATCACTCATATTAACTATTATAATGAAGATGTTTATTAAGAGGATATAACTAGCATTTTAATTTAGATGAAATGAATATATATAACCTTTGTAGTACTGAACAAGTACTACAAAGGTTATATATAAATGAACTAAAACATATAATTTTTTAAAAAGTCATGCATTTCTTTTCTTCTAACATGGAAAATACATACAGTTGACCCCTGAACAGGTTTGAATTGTATACAGATTTTTTTTTTCAATAAATATACAGTTGGTCCTCTGTATCCCTGAATTTCACATCTGCACATTCAACCAATCACAAATTGAAAACAGTATTTTCGACCCATGGTTGGGAATCTGTGGATGCAGAGGGCCTATTGTACGCATTGTTCTACATCTGCAGATTCTGGTGTTTGTGGAGGGTCCTGAAACCAATCCTCCACGATACCCAGGGACAACTGTAGTTAGGTCTTTAAGGAGTTACAAGTTAAGAGTGGATTTTCTACTGCACAAGGGAAGGGGCAGGGCTACAGGTTCAAGCCCCTAAAATCCTGCACTGTTCAAGTGTCAACTGTACATTTTTCCATTATACAAGCAGTAGAACATTGCAAATTTTTAAAGAATCTAGGAGAATATCCAATTGCTATGAAATATTAAAGTAAAAAAACCTCTACATTTATACAATATGTGTGATAAATCAAAGGTCTTATCTGAAGTCTCTTTCAATTATGTACCATTGTCATTTTAAGATTTATCCTTCTTCATTAATTTCTTAAAATAAACATCTTATATCATTGAAATAAATCTTTTGGAATTATAAACCTACACTTTTCAACAAAAGATTGCTGCTCATATAAAACTCGAGTAACATTGCATTTTGGATAAGAGAGAGTTAACTATTTGTAAAGGGCGTTTTCTTTAACAAATTAAAAAGCAAAACATTCTGAAAAATATCTGGGGGAGAGGGGCAGGAAGAAACCCAGCTTTTATAAGGTTCTGGAAAATAGAATATATGTATTATAAAAATACTCAGTAAGAAAAAAAGTCCATTATTTTTTTAGGAATTCTCAGTTATAATCCAACAAATGTAATCAATAATACTGTACTTCACACAAAACAATTCTTAGCACTTACAAGAACAGCAAAAGAACTATATTTAATGTATAAACACTGTAACATTTCAAATTATCTTTTTTCTAACCTACTTAAGCTAGATGTTCAACATAAGTTATCAAAATGTTTTACCACATTACTAATACCTTTTTTAACTTTGGGTACTAGGTAAAAACCAAAAGACTCAGTTACAATTACCCTTGACTAATCAGCACTAATTTATCTAGCATCTGTGAATTGCCAGAGAAGTAAGTTTGTCTTGAAAAAGCCCCCAAGATGTTCTCAGCAAGGTTTAAAGATAATTGTTCTAGACTGGCTTAAAATCTTGGATTCCAAATCTAAGAGGTCAAACTGTGACACTGAAAAATGATCCAACAATAAGCACACCAAAGAACTTTGTAAACATCTTCATGATTCCAGGTTTTCATGATGGATTTTATTCAAAGAAAAATGAGGACACTGATCACACTATAAGGCAGTGATAGGAAGACGAGGATGGACCCTTTTGGGCAAAAACACATCGTAAAGCCAGAAAAATCTAGTCATCAGAGAACAAGATCTAAAAATCTAGTCATCAGAGAACAAGATCTAAAACCACTAGTGGGTTTTTTCTTAAAGCATCAAATTTCATAATTAACAAAATGGTACAAGTATTTAAGATTTTACCATCATTTCTTGCTCAAAGCGCCGGAAGATTTGCTCTCGCTGCTGCTGCAGTTTGCTATTGAGCTGTTGTTGGGCTCTTTGCTCTTCTTTTTGAAGAAATCTTAATTCCCGAAGTTCCTGGCGTCTAGATAAAATGTAATAGCCATGATAGAGGCAGAAAACAAAAGTTATACCTTTGAAGTATAATGCTTTAAAAAAAAAAAAAACTTTAAAAATAATTTTTTGCAAACGTAAAAGTAATAAAAGAATGGTCCAAATTAGCCAAGTCTTTATTCCTTTCTCTAGTCTTCTGACTTTGCAGAATCTAAAAAGAAGTCACAAAACCAGTTTTGTTTTATTGATTTCAGAGAGGAAGAGAGGGAGGGAGAGAAACTTCAATGATGAGAGAGAATCATTGATTGGCTGCCTCCTGCACACCCCCCACTGGGGATGGAGCAGCAATCCAGGCATGTGCCCTTGACCAGAATCAAACCTGGGATCCTTCAGTCCGCAGGCTGACACTTTATCCACCTAGCCAAACCTGCTAGGGCACCAGTTTTAATTATGTTGTTCTCTACTCACCTAAGAAACCTCAATTCTTCAGTTTTGGAATCACTATCCGTAACTATCTTTGACGTTGTTACACTCACTTCTACACCATCAACAATAAATTTGCGTGTTTTCTTCAATGTTTTCTTTTGTCTTCTTGTTTCCTGAGTGAGATTTTATTTTAGTTAGGCTTTATATGAGCAATACTAAAGATAAAAAGCATTTTCTTCTTTAAAAAAAAAAAATTGAACAACCATTAAGTACACATATAAAGACTATAAAGCAGTAAAACTCACATGTAGAACAAGTTATATCATCTTATTTGACTTTCACATGACTTTACAGATGAAATCTAAATTTTTCAAGTCAAAGTATGACTTTTCATGATGTGCCTGTTTAATTTTTATGATACCCTATCATAATCAGATAAGGACCCTTATCAATTCACATAAGTAACTAATTATAACTTTTACATGTTAACCATTAGTTTTTCCTCCTCTTTTCACCTTGTAGGTTCTCAGATACCTCTGCTTTCAGTTTAGGACCACTGACAAAACAAAATTGAATTCCTGGGGTTCAGCCCTTAAAGACTCTAAATTAATAGGGTTAAGGGTAGTTGGGAATTTATATTTTGAAAAGGATCCCAGGTAATTTTTAAACAATGCCAGGATTAGGAGTCAAAAGCTATTTCATCAGAACAATATCAACAGCTCTGCTCTCCATTTCAGGGCTGGAGATGAATGTGTGATTTTAGAGTTATTAGCAAAATAGCACCTCTACTGCACCTCAAAAGAACCATATTTGCCCACTAGCTATTGTCTGCCATTCTTTCTCCCCTCCCCCCCAAACTAAAAGAGAAATTTTATTTAGAAAGTTACAAAGGTAGTAGAAGTGAGCCAGTTGGGCTGCTAAGCTCAGGAAAACAAGTTACAGAGGCAGAAAAAGGGCCCTTGGAGCTTAGGATAGGGAAAGAGAAAGGTAACACACCTGGAGAGAAACCCGAGAGGGAGAACTGTCTATCACTCTTTATTAAGACCAAACTCTTGATTCCTCAACTGATATCCAAGTGTTTTTTTAAATGTAAACAAATAATAAAAATATAACACTCCTGCAAATATATAAATATGGTAAAAATAAAAGTATTGAGAACAGATAATTACTAAGTTTTGATATGGAGGAAAGCTTAGAAAGCAGAGGGAGCAAAAGTAGAATATGAAAATACTAAACTCAAAATGCATTAGAATTTTAAACTGTCGCTTTCCAGTCACCTTTTTGCAACCTCTTAGTGTTCCATTCTCCAGGCTTCCAGTTTCCTCTCCTCCCCTTAAGCACCCTGACCAGGCTTCCTCTAAAATCTAAAGTGGGCTGCCCCCAAAATAGACCCACATCCCCATAACCTCCAAACTTTCCATTTCTTCAGTTCCTACTAAAATATCCATAATTAACATGACCTTAATTCTCATAGTGTTTACATTTTTTAAAAATTAGTATATTTTTATAGTGTAGCTTAAAAGTTACCATACATAGTTGCATTACTCAATAAGTCAGTGAATGGACTTCAGATTAATAGAATTTCAGTCAGTGAAACAAAAATAAAATGAAGACAATCTAGGCAAGACATAATAATCTGAGGCAGATAGGCAGGCTGATTAGTCATGCCCTAGTCTTATCCCCAAGGTCTGTTTTCCTAAGTTGTTTCTGCTATTCACAGTCTTATCTTCTGCTACCTGTCAACCCAAACTCTCTGTCCATGGTTCATCTGCATCAAAATTCCATGGGATCTTTTGTTACAAATACTGATTCTTGGGCCCCACTCCATATTCCAGATAGCTCCCCCCTCCTAAGTCTTAAACACACTTATATTTAGGAAGTGCAAGTGTTCTGGGTTTTAGTTTTGTTTGTTTTCCCACAATGGTTCTTATGGCAATAGTAATGGCTACGACTGAGGAAGAAGCAACAGTGGTGATCTGTGTGGGCCAGTGGTAAATCAAGGACTATTTATACCCTAAACGTGCTTTTAAAAGATCATTCTTTCTCAATTCTCTCATCTACTATTGATTCTTGCTAAAATAGTATCTACCTATATATAATAAGAGAACCCAAATCACACTAAGCAATAATATATACTGGTTATACCAAGTTGGCAAAAATAAGCAGGTACTACCAAAAAGTTTAAAGGTCACATCCACAACCTCTCTCCTTGCTTCTGTTCATTGATTGCCTTTGTAGGCCTTAAGAATTTTATAGGAGTAGCAAATACTACACTGATTTAGTGCTGCCCCATTTTCAAGACATTAGTTTCAAATAAACTCTAAATTACCAAAATGACAAAGGAAAACCTGAATAAGAACTCAGGTACACTTACTTGTAAAGATATTGATCCACTGTCTTTAGTTTTGCTTAGGAAGCTAGAGATGGATAAATTCAAGTCAATGCTGCTATTATCAGTAGTAGAACCAGTGCCTGAATCAGTATCATTTTCCTTTTGAGTCTCAGATTCTGGTTGCAACATGGTTTCAATTTTTGATAAAGCACCTATTTCCCCTTTATTTTCTGCACCATCAGAGTTGATATTGATACTAGGTATTGGAACAGGCTGAGGTTCACTGGGCTGTGAAGTGGCAGTAACGTCAGGTTCTGTTTTAATTGGCACTTCACATGGAATCTCTTTTTGCTCTGTATCTGTCTGAGTAGTGGCTTCGTGAGCATCCTGTGTTTCACTTCCTGAAGCCTTTTCGTCAGTCTGAATCACTGCACTTCTGACCTCTATTTCTTCAGTGCTACTTGACTCATTAATTTCAACTTCGTTCGTCCTGGGTTCCTCAGTGGTCTCCACTATATTCTCGGAACTGCTGATCAACTGTCTCTCACCTTTACCTTCTCTAGATTTTTGATCTATCTCATTAGTTTCAACTATTTCTCTAAGAGAAGCATCTTCAGTACCACCACCCTCAGGACCCTCCTTGGGTTTACTTACTAATTCCTGACCTGCTTCAACCATTTCTTTCCCATCATTACTCTGAGCGTCCTTAGTATTGTTTTCAACTGCCTTCTGAGCAACATCTATGACCTTACTTGTTCCTATTGCATTACTTGTATCACTGATTACATCTTTTTTCATTTTCTCATCTTTTTCCAAATTCTTTTGAGTATCTTTCTTTGTAAGCTCAACTTCATTGTCAGTTGTTTGAATATCTATCTCTTTTTCTCCAGTCTCTTGAGAAACTAAATCAATTGTTTCCATAGTAGTATCTTTAATTTCTTCTTCAGATTTTATAACCTTATTTTCAAATATCTGTTGCTTTTCTTGATCCCTTTCTTCCTCAGGTTTCAGACTCTGTTCAATATTTGTTTCTACAGTTATATTATTCTCTCTTCCTTCATTGATTGACTTCACGTCTACTCTTCCTTGGTCTTCTATGTCAGGCAGATTTTCAAGCTTGGGTCTCTTCTCCTCTCTCCCATTTTCCTCGATTATTATTGTTCTAGTGTGGAGTTCAACCATAGGTCCTAAAGTTTCATCAATACCCTCCACACCTTTTTCAGGCTCTTCAATAGTGGGTTTTTCATTAAGAACTCTGCTGTTAAATTTATCTTCAGGAGTATTACGTTCTGTTTTTTCTGAAACAGATTCCAAAATACAAGCATTTTGTGAAAGTTTATCTTCTTCAGAGCTGGCAATACTGAGGTCAGAGGAGGCACGCTTACTTGCAGGTATTGGCTGAAAAAGGTTTTATATATTTTTAGTGTTAAAACAAGATGGTGACCAACATTTTACTTTTTTAATTTATTTATATTTTAAAGTTATCTACCTCATATATAATGATCTAATATATTTATTTGGTAAATCTGATGAAGTTATAAAAGTAGTTTAAAGAACTGATAAATCATCACATAATATGATAAAAATGGATAGCAAGAGTAAACTTGCTATTAATCTTCATCTCTAAAATTAGTTTGTACTGCTACCCACCAACTAATCCTTAAATACAGGTATAATCATACCTCAAAACCCAACTCTAAACATTACCTAAATAAAATTTCCTTTCTATTATACTGACCAGAGAATTTTCTGTTTCTTCATCCTCCTCCTCCTCTTTACCATCTTCAACTTCTTCTGTTACTTCAGCCTTTGCCTCTGCAATCAATTCTCGGATTGGTTTGTTGGTATCCACAGTAACAAAAGGATGCTGTCAGATCATTAAAAAGAGCATGCTCAATAACACCTGAAATGCTTGTTCATAGAGTAAGTTTCAAAACATAAAACACATTATTATGTGGTAAAAATATGAATACATAGGTAGGAAAAATACGAACACCATCAAGTAAATATGTCAAAAATAATGACATTATATCTGTAAGTACACATATTTTTGTGTATGTTTGAAAATTTTGTAATATAAAAGTTAAATTTAAATTTAAAGTATGTTTCCAGTTAACTGTATAATACCAGTTCTTAAAAAATAGCAATACAGCCGAAACCGGTTTGGCTCAAAGGATAGAGCATCGGCTTGGGGACTGAAGGTTCGATTCCGGTCAAGGGCATGTACCTTGGTTGCGGGCATATCCCCAGTAGGGGGTGTGCAAGAGGCAGCTGATCAATGACTCTCTCTCATCGATGTTTCTAACTATCTCTCTCCCTTCCTCTCTGTAAAAAAAAGCAATAAAATACATTTTTTTAAAAAAAATAGCAATACATATAAATCCAGTTTAAAGCCTAAAATAAAATAACAAAAAATTTTAAAGTTAAAAGTGTCTACAAATACCTGCTTTTTTAACATGGTTCAAATTTTCTTTTTTCTTTTTTTTAATTTAAATTCTTTATTGTTTAAATTATTACAAAAGTATCCTTTTTTCCCCATTGACCTCTCCCCAGCCATTCCCACCTCCCAACATATGCCCTCACCCCCCTACTGTCTGTGTCTATTGGTTATGCTCATGGCTCTAATATTCTTAAGAGTAAGAAGACACTTATTATCTCTATATACTTGGCACTTAACAGGGTCTATCACAGACTAAGGCTTTCACATGTGGAGGTAGTAAAATAATGGAAGTGTGTGCCAGGGAATTCTTATTGCACCGAATAAGGCAATTTTTCCTGCTCTCACCACCCCCCTCCAATATAAATACATACAACTAACTTTTCCTATAACTCCTACATTATCGTGTTTTTGAAAACACGATAATGTAGGAGTTATACAGTAACTCAACCTAACAGTAAGTGCCTCAATACTTGCCATTCTTTTTGTTCACCTGTAATATTAACTATCTGATGTTTTATTTCAAATATTATAAACAGGTCCTGCTATAAATCAAAATTATCCAATCACTTTAACACTATTTGTTAAAATCAGCAACGTTTATCCTCAAGTGAAATAAGAAACAAAATGGAAGCAACTAACAAAGCGGAAATAACTAACAAAATAAAAGAACACAAACTCAATCAAAAAAGCACAGAAGGAATAACTTAAAAGTTAAATATCTTTTAGCAATGGCAGCACCTACTAATATATGTTGATAAAATAAATATTAACTACTATAATGTATTTTGAGTTTCCACAAGGAAACTCAAATATAAAAAAAAGCACAATGAATGAATCTTATCTTACCTGTAGTAGCTGAGATGTTGTCCACCTGGAATCCACATTTTTTTCCAAGCATTTCTTAAGAAAGTCCTTAAAATTCGAAGACCTTCAAAATAAAATTTTAGCAATGACATCCCATTTTACTTTCATGTTATTAAAATCAAACAAAACTCTAATAAATTAAGTTTCATTATATATACAATAGTATTATTCAACATAAAAAACTAGTTAATGAGAATATTAAGATTTTATTAGTTATCTATAATAATAATAGCATAATATGCTAATTAGACCGGACAGCCAAATGACCTTCCAGACGTCATTCCAGACAAAGCCATGACAGCAGAGGCTGAGGCAGAGATTGTTACGGGCAATCAGTCAAGAAGGCAAGTGTTTAGGGGCGAACAGGCAGGCAGAGGTGGTTAGAGATGATCAAGCAGGCAGGCCAAAGGGTTAGGGGAGATCAGGCAGGCAGGCAGAGTGGTTAGGGGCAATGAGACAGGCAAGCAAGCAGGTAAGCAGTTAGGAGACAGTGGTCCAGGATTTCGAGAGGGTGCAAGCCAGGGTGAGGGACACACACACACACACACACACACACCCATGCACACATTTTGTGCATTGGGCCTCCAGTTTATTTATAAATACAATTTACACATATAAGTAAGTAGGTTCCAAGTTTTAACCAATGAGAGATATATTCATATATTCACAAGTATGCCAAGTCACAAAAAATCTTCTATATTAAATTCCACAAATATAGATCAGATATATGCCTCACTTTCTCATAGAACAGAAAATACTTTTTTTGTGTGGAACTCAAGTCACTGGTATCAAGTTTATAGGAAAACCCCTGGCCAGTGTGGTTCATCTGGTTGAAGAGTAGTCCTGGCAACTGAAGGTTAGATTTGATTCCTGGTCACAGCACATACCTAAGTTGTGGATTTGATCCACTGTCGATGTGTCTCTCTCACATCAATGTTTCTTTCTTTCTCTCTCCCTCTTTCTCACCTTCCCTCTCTCTCTAAAATTGATGTTTTTTAAAGTTACGGGGCCCTAGCCGGTTTGGCTCAGTGAATAGAGCCAAAGGGTCCCGGGTTCAATTCTGGTCGAGGACTCGTATCTCAGTTGCAGGCGCCCATCCACCCAGCCTTGTTCAGGGCATGTGCAGGAGCCAACCATTCGATGTATTTCTCTGACACTGATATTTCTTTCTTTCCCTCTCTCTAAAAAAAATCAATGGAAAAATATCCTCGGGTGAGGATTTAAAAGAAAAAATTATAGGAAAAGTTAGTTTTAAGAGTTTAAATGGTCCTTAAGTCTTGAAACTATACCAAAATCAGTTTTCTACTTTATATAGTCTTTGTACCATAAATTTAAATATTCTTGGAAAGTTGGAAGAATAAAGCATCAAGTTTTGCTTCTTAAAAGCTTTGTTTAGAATATTTTACCATTTTGATGGTTGTGCTAATGTAGGAGGCTCAGATTTTGCTATTTTTAGCAGCACTCGCATTGGGTTTAATTCATGATGTGGTGGTTCTATCTCAGCCATTTCTATTAAAGTGATACCCAGGGACCAAACATCAGCTTTGTAGTCATAGGGTCTGTCCTTTGATGTTTCACACATGACTACCTCAGGAGCCATCCTATAAAAACAGAAAAGTGAAAATTAAGACATTTAACTTAAGACTAGTTATTGCAACCTTCATAAAAGATAGACAGTATCACCAATTATGTGAACAAATTAATGAGTATAATAACTGCTGACATAACTAACATGTAAATCCATAAAAATTAATACATACCAATATGGTGTGCCAATAAAGGAATCTCTTCTTTGGATTGTCCTTGTGTTTTTAGCTGAAACTCCAAAATCCGCTTAAAATAAATAATTATACAGAAGTGTTAATGATAGTGTTTAAGCAAAGTTCCCTGCAGTCAATGAAGTTTGGGAAAACATTTGAAGTCCTTCATAAGGCCATTCTTATTAAAGGGTAAGGAAAATAAACTTCTCTAACCATCCTAATTTTGACCACCCTCTTTCTATCACACCTACTCACCAAAAATGCAGAAAAGATTCCATCATTAACACACTTAATACCACCATCTTTATACATCTTCAGATCACAAATTCTCCAGAATTGAAGAACAAGATTGTAATTTTAAAACAGACCAGGCTATCCACTTCAAAACAATGTCAACTAGTGCTACATTATAATTAAATCAATAGATATAAACATTTTTCTATAGTGGGAAAAACAAATTATACCAAAGCAGCCTTATGATAGCATATGGCTTGCTAATTTCCTCAGAAAATTACATTACAAAGAAAAAAATTAAGAACCATATTTTCTTATTTAAATTATAGAGCACAAAGGAAATTAAAAATGGTGGTGGAGTAAGTGGATACTACTACACAGACACATTCCCAGAACCAAACTGGAATTACAACTAAAATAAAAATAAAAAAAATAAAAATAAAAAACCCTGAATAAGCAACTAAAAACCAGCTGGAAAGAATCCTGATAACCAAGGACAGAAAGTGGAGATGCATAGAGACTGAGAGAGAGCAAGGGAGAGAGAGAGAAAAACATCGAAATGAAAGTGTAACATCAATCAGCTGCCTACTACACACTCCCTGCAGGGGTCAAGCCAACAACCCAGGCATGTGCCCTGACCAGGATTCTTACCAGCAACCCTTCAGGACATAATCAACTGAGCCACACCGGCCAGAGCTGTATCTGTAATTTTGTCAGATATTGCCAAATTGCTTGCCCCTTCCCTTGTGGTAGGCAAAATAATAGTCCCCAAAGATGTCCAAATCTTAATCCTCTGAACTAAGTACATCACAACACTTCACATTGCAGATGTGATTAAATCAAACAGGGCAATTATCCTGAATTATCCAGGTGTGTCACTGGAATCCCACGATTCCTTATAAGAAGGAGGCTCTGAATCAGAGACAGAGAAGATGCTAGTATTGACGATGGAGAATGGATCCATGAGCCAAAGAATGCAGGCAGCCTCTAGAAGCTTCTGCTAAAGAAATGGATTATCCCTTGGAGTCTCTAAAAAGAATGCAGCCCTGCCAACACTTTAACATTAGGACTTCTGACCTTCAGAATTGTAAGAGAATAAATCTGTGTTGTTTTAAGCCACTCAAAAATAAATAAATTTTAGAGAACAGCAACAATATAAAGCCATTATTAAACACCATCTTTTAAGTTTACAGCAGAGACAACCATTAATAGCAACATAAAACTCCTATAGCTGCCTAAATTACCTCATGTCACACATCTATATTTCAAGGTTTCATGTTTGACATGCCACAATTCTCAAAATTAAATACCAAAATCCAGCATTTAGTACTTATTTCCCAAGGCCTGGGACAGTAAATGATAGCTACTATTATTAACCATAACTATAATTCTAACTTTTGGGATATTTCATTGGTAGAACTCTTAAAACTCATTAAGTCCTACTTTGTAATCTAACTATTTGTGTTTATTATATAGTTCTCTCTTTCTCACTCTCTCTCTTCCCTCCATTTCCTCTCTTTCGATTAAAAAAAAAATCAATACAATATATCCTTAGGTGAGGTAAGACATAAAAGAGTAACATTAAATCAGAATTACAAAAACTCAGAAATGAGGTGGCAGAACTTGAGAAAATTAGAAATAAAAAATCATTTAGAAAAAAAGACTAAATTAAGAGGAATGCAATATCAGATAAACAAATGCATACCCATTACCTCTCCACACCTGTAACAAATATTAGCAAGGATGTGGAGAAATTGGAATCCTTATGCATTGCTGATAAGAACGTAAAATGGTGCAACTACTACGGAAAATTATATGGTAGTGCCTCAAAAAAATTAGCACAGAATCATCATATGATCCAGCAATTCCACTTTTGGAATACCCAAAAGAATTGAAATCAAGGGCTCAAACAGGTATTTGTACACCCATGTCCATAGCAGCATTATTCACAAGAGCCAAAAGGTAGAAGCAACCAAAGTGCCCATCAATGGATGAAAGGATAAACCAAATGGGGCATATATGCAAATACTACTCAGCTTTTAAAAGGAAGGAAATTGACACATGCTACAAAATGGATGAACCTTGAAGACATGTTAGGTAAAATAAGCCAGACACAAAAGGACAAATATTATTTGATTCCATTTATATGAGGTACCTGGAGTTGTCAAATTCATAGAAAGAGAGAGTTAACAGTTGTTGCCAGAAGTTGTGGGAGACAGAGCAATGAGGAGCCAGTGTTTAAAGAGTTTCAGCTGGAGAAGATGAAAAGTTTTGGATAGTGCTAATAGTTGTACAACAATATGAATGAACTTAATGGTACAAAACTGTACACTTAAAAATGTTTAAATGGTAAATTTTGTTAAGTATATTTCACCATAATAAAAAAATGAAGATAAAAAGCACAAATTCAAATGCCTTATTTAAAGAAATAAACTTACCCAATTTAATATCTCCATCTAGGGTAAAAAGAATGTTGCCAGCCTTTAGATCTCTGTGGATGATTTTATTATCATGTAAGTAATTCAATGCCTCTAAGGTCTGTTTACAAACTACTTGTATTTGGGACTCAGTTAATGGTCGCTCAAGTTCTGTAAGAAAAAAGTAAACAAATCTAGATTTTTACACAATGAAAACATGTCAGCAGTCTCTTACTTTTACCATCATTGTCAATGATTTATATAGTGAATTTATTTTAGAAGAACTGAATATCTATAAGATTACTTTCCTCGTATATTATACTCATCATTTAATATTAGAATTTTATTACAATTTTCTAAGAATATAAAAATATAATTAATCTGATTTCTTAACTGATTGAACTTTACCTACCTATAAGATATATGCATAAATGTTTGAAATCCATCAATTTTTATTAAGTGTAATTTAAGATATGAACATAAAGGAAAAAAGGTATTTACCAAGCATCACAGCATCCACTGCTCCACCTGCACAAAATTCAATGAGGATCTGCAGGCATATAAAAAAACATGCATTTAACCTTGAGCTTGAGTATTTTTTCTTCAATTTAGCAAAAAGGATAAAAAAATAACTGTCAACTTAACTGGACTATGGAAATAATATTATGCTAACCATACAAGTGTTAAAAGTGTTAAAAGTCTTAATGACAATCATTTGAGAAAGCACAAAGAGAACACATTCTGGAAGTATGTGGGGGGTTTTTTTGTTAATCACCATTTTTAGTGTGCCTGCTTCTCTAAAATAACCAGGCATAAAATTTTTCTTCAGGACAGTATTTTTTTTAATTTATTGATTTGAGAGAAAGAAACATGGGCCCACTGTTCCACCGATTATGCATTCATTGGTTGTCTTTTGTGTGTGCCTTGACTGGGGATCAAACCCACTCAGCAACCCAGCCAGGGCCAGGAAATACTATATATCCATTTCATCACTACTAAATTATTTTATTACTTTCATTTTTAAGGTAATTATTGTGATTTAAGTGATCAAATGTAGTATTTTTAGCTTTAATAATAGAAATAAATCCGGAAAATATGGAGAGTTCGAGTTAAAAAAAAACAACAAACGATATACACAAAACCTTTCAATTATCACTTCCTGATGAATGCCTTCCCAGACCTTCCTGTACATACCAGCATGTACCTTTCCTTCTTAACCCTTATCACAGTTGTAATTTTGACTATGATGCTTTGGTTAATTAATGTCTATCTCTCCCACTAACCTGTCCCTTCACAGCTGTCCAACTTTTTATGTTATACTAGTCTTGAATAAATATCTTATCTCTTTATAAAATCATCTAGGAGTTCATTTTTATCATAATCTCTGGAAACACTTTTTAAGAGACCTGATCAGTTACATTAAAATATATCACAGTAAAAATAACTGTAACTTTTAAAAATTACAAATATTAACAAATTACATACCTTCCTTTTTGTTTTCCCTCTATATAATAACAATTTATTTTTCACAGATGCTTGCCAATTACAAATTGTTTTTAAATGCATTATATCATTTAAAAAATAATTTGGGAGGTAGGTCATTGACTCATCCTATGAGTACACAGACTCATAAAAGTTAATTGATTTATTTAAGCTCCTAGCACCACCAGGATCAAAAAACATAGGCCTTTGATTCCTAGTCAGGTATTATTTGTTCTACCTACTCTTCTGTCATAACACTGCTTCTTCCTTCAAGGAGAAAAACAAAAACTGCATTTCAAAAAGCCCTCTTGGTTAAATTAGTGTTGGTGCAGAGCAAGAGACTGGTTACTATAATAAACATTAACTTTTATATCTACTTGTGTCTAGTATTTTCTAAAAATGAACATAATTTATACATATAGCCTGAACTACTTATATCATCTACTAAAGCAAGGCCTGATTATATAAGATAAATACATAACATTTCTAGAAAGCATTTTATAATTTATTACATGATTTAGAAAAAAATTAGGGTAATAAAATTATAAGCAAAAGAAATTTTTAAAAATTTTCAAGTAAATGCTAAGATTTAAAAAAATAAGAAAAGGCTATTTAATATCATAGTTTAGGAAATTTAATATTCTAACCAAGTTTCTCCATTTGGGTCCAATGTCAAACAATCATGAAATATGATACAATCTGAAATACACATCTGAATACATAGATGGGCAAATAGATTTACAGTTGTGAGTAGCAAAACACAGAATTAATAAAGCTATTGTAATAATCATAACTTGCATGTCTTTTTCCATATGAGTAAATGTAAACCTGCTTTTGCCCACCCCTGTATCTGTTGAAGCTAAGGGTAATTATGTTGTCAATGACCCTCTCATCCGCAGATAACTCTCAACACAAGTAACTAAACAAAAGAGGTTATATACAAAATAGGCTTTCAAAATTTATAAACCTCTTTAGGACAATTAATTCATTTTGACTACTCCTATAGATCAAGAGAAAATACTTACCCAAAGATTGTTCTCATAATAGAAGGCATCTAAAAGTTTTACTATATTTGGGTGATCACAAGACGCTAAAATATCAATTTCAACCATGTAATCTTCAAGTTCTTCTTCAGATTTGGTGTCAATCACCTTTGCAGCAGCTAAAACATTGGTCTCTTTATTCTGGGCCTAAAAATTAAGATAAAAAATATCCCATTGCATACTTAGTTTTTTAATTTTATTTTTAATAAACTTCATTTTTTAGAATAGTTTTAGGTTCACAGAAAATTGAGCAGAAAGTACAAAGTTTCCATATACCCCCTGCTTCTACACATACCCTCCCGCACTATCAATGCCCTCTTGACACATCTTTATCATTCTCGGACCACTGTTTGTATTTGGTGTACAGACAATCCATTTTTTTAATATATTTTATTAATTTTTTACAGAGAGGAAGGGAGAGGGATAGAGAGCTAGAAAGGTCGATGAGAGAGAAACATCGACCAGCTGCCTCTTGAACACTCCCTACCAGGGATGTGCCCGCAATCAACATACATGCCCTTGACCGGTACATGCCCTTGACCTGGGACCCTTCAGTCCGCAGACCGACACTCTACCACTGAGCCAAACCAGTTTCGGCTAGTCAATCCATTTTGACAAATGTGTCCACCACTATATTATACAAAATAGTTTCACTGCCCTAAAAATCCTGTATGCCATACCCATTCATCCCTCCCTCCTTCATAACCCCTGGCAGCCATTGATCTTTTACTCCATAGTTTTGCTATTACAGAAATCACATAGTATAATATATAGCCTTTCAGATTGGCTTCTTTCACTTAGTAACATACATTTAAGGTTTCTCCATGTCTTTTCATGGTTTGACAAATTTTTTTAGCACTAAATAATAGTTCATTATATAGATGTGAGAATTTATTTATGCATTCACCTACTGAAGGCATCTTGGTTGTTTCTAACTTTCAGTAATTATGAATAAAGCTGCTACAAACATACATGTGCATGTTTTTGTGTAAGCATAAGTTTTCAACTCCTTTGGGTAAATACCAAGGAGCACAATTACTGGATCATATGGTAAGAATATATTTAGTTTTGTAGGAAACTGCCAAACTGTCTTCCATTTTTTACTTCCACCAGCAATGAATAAGAGTTCCTACTGTGCCACATTCTTGTTAGCATTTGATGTTGTCAATGTTTTGGATTTTCACCATTCTAAAATGGTTGTATAGTGATATCTACTTGTTTTAATGACATATAGTGTTGAGCATCTTTTAATGTACTCACTGACCATCTGTAAATCTTTGGTGAGATGTCTGCTCAGATCTTTTGTCCATTTTTAATCAGATGGTTGGTTTTCTAATAGTTAAGTTTTAAGAGTTCTTTATATATTTGAATAGTAGTTTATCAGATATCTTTTGCAAACATTTTCTCCCATTAGTGGCTTGTCTCAATTTTTTTTTTAATCCTAGAGACCTGGTGCATGAAATTTGAAGACAGAGGGGGGCTGTCTTCAGCCCAGCCTGCACCCTCTGGCAGTCCAGGAGCCCTCGCTCTGAGGTTTAGAATAAAACACTTTGCAAAGGAACAAGGAACCCAAACTATAGGTGACAGTTTCCCTGGTTTATATATAATTAAATACTTCATATATTGAAGTTTTAATCACTTATTCACTGAGTTATCTAATGTTCACACAATATCATTCTCTGGCCATTAAATTAACTCCTATTTCCAAAATTTTATTTAAAGTCACTGTCTCCCATTTTGCAATTATAATGATACTACTTTGTTTATCTAACCACAGATAAACCAGGATTTTTTCTTCAAAAGGTCCTTAAATAGTTTATTAATTTAAACAGCAAGAGATTGCAACTATATGACACAACTAAATTCAATGACAGATAAAACATGACCTTTACCTGGCCAACAATAATAATACTAAGGCATTAATCAATAAAGGACATATTCCAATTTCAGAGATGTTAAAAATTAAGAAATCTGTCATAACTGATAAAAATACAACTTATGTTGTGTATCTAAGAAAGATACACAGTTGAGCCAATAATAATTAGAACTCGCCAAAACCGGTTTGGTTCAGTGGATAGAGCATCGGCCTGCGGACTGAAAGGTCCCAGGTTCGATTCCGGTCAAGGGCATGTACCTTGGTTGCGGGCACATCCCCAGTGGGGGGTGTGCAAGAGGCAGCTGATCGATGTTTCTCTATCATTGATGTTTCCAACTATCTATCCCTCTCTCTTCCTCTCTGTAAAAAATCAATAAAATATATATTTTTTAAAATAATTAGAACTCACCATCCACCTAAGTCAGAAGAAATAAGCCAATGAAACATAACCCCTTCTCTCATCATCTATAATAATAATAGCGTAATATGCTAATTAGACCAGAAAACTGACCAACCTTCTGGACATCATTCTGGATGAAGCCATGACTGTGGGGGCCCAGGCAGAGGCAGTTAGGGGCAATCAGGCAGGAAGGCGAGTGGTTAGGGGCGATCAGACAAGCAGGCAAAGGTAGTTAGGGAAATCAGGCAGACAGGCAGAGTGACTGAGACAATCAGACAGGCAGAGTGGTTAGGGACAATCAGGAGGCAGACAGGAGAGTGGTTAGGAGCCAGCAGTTCCGGATTGTGAGAGGGATATCTAACTGTTAGTTTAGGGGGATCGAGCCTAAACTGGCAGTTGGACATCCCCTAGGGGCCCTGGATTTTGGGAGGGGGTAGGCCAGGCTAAAGGACACCCCCTGCTCCCCATGCATGAATTTCATGCACCAGGCCTCTAGTTTTAATATAATACTCAGGGAAGAAAGAGACAAGAGGAACTGTCTTTGAAGAGGCATACTATAAAATATAAACTCTGGTAATAGACTAAGGATATTGTGAATGAAGTTAAAAGTCATTCTACTTCTGCATGCTTCTACTAATGTCCTTAGAGATTTTTAAAATGTCTTTTACTTATGAATGGAATAGTATGAAGAGGAGGAAAGTAACACTAGATAATCTCTAAAGTTCTGATTAAACCAACAATGGAACCTTTTTGTTTAATATAATGAATAAAAGTTATATTAGAAAGTATAGTGCCTCCTACATCAATGCTTGAAAATAACAATTATTCATGAGGATTTGGTTCTAAAGAACTCTGAAACTCAAAACTGAAATAAACATTGATAAGCATGTAATACTACATTTTAAACAAATATAATGGATATAAGTGTTAAAAAAGAAACAAGCTCGCCATCATCGGTTTGGCTCAGCAGATAGAGCGACGGCCTGTGGACCGAAAGGCCTCGGGTTCGATTCCAGTCAGGGGCACGTACCTTGATTGCAGGTTCCTCCCTGTCTGGGCTCGTGCAGGAGGCAACCAATCTGTGTTTCTCTCACATCAATATTTCTCACTGTCTTTTCCTCTCTCTTCCACTCTCTTTAAAAAAATCAATGGAAAATATCCTTAGGCAAGGATTAAATAATAATAATAATAATAATAATAATAATAGAAAAAAATGAACTATTTAAAAATGTTTCAAAAGAAACAATCTCATTTTTACATAAAGAATTAATGAAATAACTAAACAAATATTAATAAAAACAATAGAATAACACACACCAAGATAGTACTTGACATTGATAAAATGTTTTCATAAAATCTACTGCCTTAATTTTTATAAATCATGAATAGAGCTTGGCCACTTTATATAAACAACTAGGGGCTACAGGGAAACATAATGATTATTAAGTTTCCTGTACTGTTTTCATGTTCTAAATCTAAATGAAGTAGTGTAAAAATTACATCATCTTACATTACTCTTGTTTCAACTATAGCTTATTTATTAGCTTATTTAACCAATCAGGGTCCAGCCAGGAGAAAGAAATCATATTGATCATTTTAAAAGAGAATTTGATATAAATAATTATTGAGATTCTGTTGTTAATAGGTAATTAAAAAATAAACAGAAGATTAAGAGAGTCAGGGAGGTGGAAGTAACTGCAGGAAAGACTAGTAGTACCCTATGACTAGGGGAGCCAAGGGATTGAAATTATTAAAACTCAGAAGCTTGGAGGAAAGGTTCTACAGAGCTGAAACTCAGATCCCTGGGGAGAGAGTGCTGCTCTGCTGCTGGCCTCTCTGAACTTGGAAGAGGGGTCTTATAGAATTTTTGAGGAAGAGGGGGCCAGCCAACTGGAGCTGATGTTATGAAAGGTTATGATGAGGCTAGCTCTGAGAGTTGCAAAAACTACAAACTGGATTTAACTCCTGTCGCTGGATGAGGAATTTCCACTAGGATGATGGTATAGTAACAGGAAAGCAAACAGGAAACCCACAGAAAAGGAAAAAGGTAAAAGTCCTTTCTTCATCCATTTTCTTACAGCCTTCCTCTAGTGCTCCATAACTGTTAAAACTACAAATGAGCAGCTAGCAAGGTAGAAAAGTGATTTACAAAATAGTTAAAATCTATAATACACAAATAAACAAGAGAAAGACATGTAATAGGAACATGAACAAGAGAACTGAACCCGAAAGAAGAAATTCAATCTACCAATAAAACTATCAAAAGAATTACTTATTAGTAATTAGTAGTCAGAGAAAGAGAATTAAAACCACCACCAAAAAAAAAAAAAAATTATATATATATATATATATATATATATATATATATATCAACATTAGATTGTCAAAACTGAAAAATTTTGACAATATCAAAATTGTTGTCAAGGATGCAGAGCAAGGAAATTCTCATATGCTAGCTGGTAAGATTGTAACTTGGTATACTTTGGCATCATCTAGTAAAATTAAAGATACACTACCCTATAATCCAGCAATACTACAGAAACACCAATCAAAAAGGATATATACCACCCCCTCCATGTTCACAGCAGCACAATTTACAATAGCTAAGATTTGGAAACTGCTTAAGTGCCCATCAGCTAATGAGTGGATTAAAAACCTGTGGTACATCTACACAATGGAATACTACACTGCTGTAAAAAAAAAAAAAAAAGGACCTCTTACCATTTGCAACAGCTTGGATGGATCTGTAGAGCATTTTGCTAACCAAAATAAGCCAGTTGGTAAGAGATAAATATCACCATAATCTCACTCATTTGTGGAATATAATGAACATAAACTGATGAACAAAAATAGATCCAGAGACATAGAAGCATTGAACAGATGGTCCAACCTCAGAGGGTAGAGAGGTTGGGAGGGGGTTAAGAGATCAACCAAAGGACCTGTATGCATGCATGTAAGCATAACCCAAGGACACAGACAGTAGGGGGGTAAGGGCATGTGATGGAGTGTCGGAATAGCCAGGGAGAGATCAATGGGGGAAAAGAAGACATATGTAATACTTATAAACAATAAAAATTTTATTTTTTTAAAAAATAAATAATAAAAAATAAGCCTTCGCCAGTTTGGCTCAGTGGATAGAGTGTGGGCCTATGGACCAAAGGGTCTTGGGTCCAATTCCAGTCAAGGGCACATACCTACGTTGCAAGGCTTCTCCCCAGCCAGGGCCCTGGTCAGGGCTCATGCAGGAGGCAACCAATTGATGTATTTTTCTCTCACATCAATATTTCTCAGTCTTTCCCTCTCCCATTCTCTCTAGAAAATCAATGGGAAAATATCCTCCATAATAAATAAAAAATGAATAAATAAATAAAAAGTATGAGAGATATATATGTTTTCCTTTATATGTCAAATAATACAACATTAAAGAGAAAATTAAAAATAAAGATAAGTCAGAGACTTAAAAAAGAGAAAATAGATTAAAAATAGGGAAGACAGATTTGTGTAGTGCTGAACTGAGTGGAAAGAATACAAGTATATGATGGAAAAATGTTTCAAATAAATTAAGTACTTAAGATGATTGCCTGTTTATAATTTAATCTTTATAAGTTACTAATTTCCATAAGTAAATGATGGTTACAATCAATTTTAGAAAGTTTTCTACATCATACAATACTGAAATTTAGTAGCTTTTCCCCACACACAGAACGTTTATAAATTTAAAATTTCTAGCATATCTTGGAAAACAGAAACTTTCAGAAAAAAGAGAAAAAACAGGTCAGATAAGTTTAAACTTTCTTCTAAAGAAATATCAGGCTGGGAGAGCACATCCCTGTCCCATCCTTTTGCTTCTGAATTCTAAATATAATAGTAATTTCTACCACTTATTGAGCCCTTTTTTTTATTATTATTATTGATTTTTTACAGAGAGGAAGAGAGAGGGATAGAGTTACAAACATCAATGATAGAGAATCATCGATCAGCTGCCTCTTGCACACCCCCCATTGGGGATGTGCCCACAACAAAGGTACATGCCCTTGACCAGAATCAAACCCGGGACCCTTCAGTCCACAGGTCGACGCTCTATCCACTGAGCCAAACTGGTTTCGGCATTACTGAGCCCTTTTTATGTGCCTTATATCAACTATCTCCTTTAATTTTCACACATTTAAAACAAATCTTACTGATCAGGAAAAGTGAGACATGGAACAATTAAGTAATTTGTCCAACTCACAGACTATTGAGGTAGGCAAGATATAGTACAATTCCAGGGCCAGTGTTTTCATACTACAATGTTCTATTCAATGAAACACTTATACCATGAAAACTGCCTCTAATTACCTACCACCTTCTAACCATCGGATTGCAGGTGTCTTGAGTAACTTATTTTTGCCTTTCCCAGATTAACTGCATACTCAGAATTCCACTAGGTGAAGAAATCAAAACAAACGTTTGGGGAAACCTATGAGACTCCTCCAGCTAAGAAAATGGAGGTCCAGAGAAGTGTCCTGTCCAAGACCCCAGAGCTGGTTTGTAACAGCCAACACTACAGCACAATTCCCAGAGTGATCCTCCCACTGCACTAAAAGCCCTTCCTTCCTACCATACATCTAAACTGTAAACTCTCTTTGGAACCCATTCTCTATCCTCCACACAAGCACTGACGTTTATTTTGCCAACTTTCACAGCATACAATAACTTCAATAGCACTCACATGTAGGTAACATACATTCTTTCATTTCAACAAACACAGAGAGATACACTATGTGCTAAGGCAACTGATGAACCCAAATGTTTACCAGGATTTACATTTGGCCTCTGGTCTTATCATAAAAACATAAACATGTTAACTATAACATGTACCAGTGCCATAGCAGACATGTGAAGAATGTGTTCTGAAAGCACACGGAGTGTATATTTCAGCCTGAGTAAAGAATGAGCAAGGCAAGGGGGCTGGGAGGTGCACCTGAGGCAGAGCAAAGGCAGAAGTGTGCTGGTGCTTAGAAAGGAGGGGGGAAATACCATCATTTTTACAATGGACATCCGAGTAAAAAACAACAGTAAATAGGGGGCCAGAAGACCTGAGTTCAAATCTAAACTGTGTGACTAACTCTGACCCGTGTGACTCTGAACAATTTCTGACTCTGTGTCATCTGTGACATGTAGATACCACCGACCTCTCTCCCTCACAGGACTTTCATGGGGCCAAATTATGTGAAAGTGCTTTAGGCCTGTATAAACATCAGTTCTTTGTTTTCACGTGGATCTTTCCCCCAAACCTGTGTCTCATAAAAACCTCACCCTTCAGGATGAAAATATTCTAATGACATCATTCAGACGCCCTTATGGGATAATAAACAGCTAACACTAATGCCTTCAGATTGAATCCCCAAGACTCTTTCTACTGAAATATAAATAAATAGATAAATAAATAAAGTGTGTGAGGTGGTTTTTTTTTAAATTTCTTAAGCACTGGTATTGACTTCTAATCAAAGCTTCCTCTGGAAACTAGTACTAAACGCAGGTTTTCTTTCTGGAAATTTTCTATCAGAAATTCCACTCCATTTTATAGGACGTTGTGAAGCAACCAATTCAAGAATAGTGGATAAGTAGCCATCGCTGTGCTCTCATCCCAAGACATAGGTTATGTGTTACCTAGGCATATGCCCTGACTCTTAAAAAAGAGAAGCTGGTTTAGTACAATCATACACATGTCTGCAAACAGCTAGTAGACAAACATAAGGCCACTGAAAAGCGTAATGAGTTTCTGTAGTAAGTACGGTTTTAAAGTACTTGCAGGCCACACCACCTGATCCCTGCTTGCAATTAAAGAGCTTTCCCCACTTCCTTTAAAGTTTGACAGAGTAGCCAGTGTAAGAACCTCACCTCCCTTTAGCAATCCCTCTTTAACGTCCAACCTTAAACCCTCCTGTCCTGAGTGCTCCTTGGATGACAGCCTGGATGTACGTTTCCGAAGTCAAAAGATGGGCAAGAGACAGGAAAGGGACAAGGGGGGGAGGAGGGGGTTTGAAAGAAATCCTCGTGCCACTCCAGGACAATGGCTGTTTTATCTTACAAAGCGCAACTTCCCGTTTTTTTCTCCCTCTTACCTTGTATACTTTCCCAAAGGCTCCGTCGCCCAATTCTCCTATGATTTCCCAAAACTCCTCCGGGTTCAGGTCCCTCTTCACGTGCTCGTACTGCTTCTTCTTCTTCTCACTCCCCAACTTGAAGATCTTACGGAAATTGAAGAAGGACATGTTTCCTCCCGACAGAGTTCCTGGCACTTAAGGACTTAACAATAAAAGGCAAAGTTTCTCCTCCCTCTTCTCCCGCGCGAGCCCGGCGGGCGGCGGCGGCGGCGGCGGCGGGCGCGGGCTCTCCCGGCTCCCGCCGCTCCGGCTGGGCGTCCCGGGGAAGGCGGGGCGCGACTCGGACTCCGACCCACGGGGAGGGGGGGCTGCGCGGGCGGTCCCTCGGCCGAGCCCGGGGCCCGCGGGCCGCGCGGTGGGTGCCTTTGCCCCCTGTCGGCCCTCGCGGGGACGGCACCTGCCCGGACTCCGTCCCAGCCCGAGGGGTCCGAGCGGTCCCGACGCCCGCGGTCGGTCGCCGCGGCTTAGGCCCGTGTCACGGCGAGTCTCCAGGGGCGGCGCCCACACCGGGCAAGGGACGCGGCCGGCGACTTCTGGGGCCGGCAAGTCCTCGAGGCCGAGCTCTCCCGCCTCGGACCGCGAGCCCGGCGTCCCCTCCGCAGCTGTCCGCTCCCGCGGCGCGAGGCCCGCGCGTCCCCTAGGCTCCCGGGCTCCGCCGCCGCCGCCGCCGCCACCTCCTCCTCGCTCCCTTCCCAGCCCACACAGCCTCGCTCTGGAGCGCGCGCCGACGCCGACGCCGACGCCACTGCCGCAGCGCGCGCCGCGCTCCGCAGGCCGCGCGCCCCGCTCGCCGCGCGCTCGCGTGGGGGCGTGCCCTCTGGCCCCGCGCACGCGCGCTGAGCGCAACTTGCCGGCGGCCCGGAGGGGCTTGCAGGCGTCCCGCCCGGGGTGCGACGTGGACTTGGGCGTCCCTCGCTCCTGGCGCATTGTGCCCCACTGACCTTCTAAGACCCTAAAATCCTATCAGCCCAGGATTTTGGTAGAGTTGCCCCGCGGACAAGACCCTGTGGGTGTTGCTAGCGGATGTGGCCTCCATGCTGGATCTGAGAAATTTTGTAAACACTGAATGCTGAGCTGTACCGATGGGCTCTCCCCACTCGAAAGGATTTTTTCCGCTTTCAAATGGGGCCAATAGTACAGTGAGAGGAGCATGTGTGATGGCTGGGAGCTTTAGAGCCAGAAATTACCAGCTCTGTGACCTTGGGCAATTTTTTTTTTCTTTCATTTTTTATTAAGGTATTATATGTGGCCGAAACCGGTTTGGCTCAGTGGATAGAGCGTCTTTCAGTCTGCGGACTGAAAGGTCCCAGGTTCGATCCTGGTCAAGGGCATGTACCTTGGTTGTGGGCACATCCCCATAGGGGGTGTGCAAGAGGCAGCAGATCCATGATTCTCTCTCATCTATGTTTCTAACTATCACTCTCTCTTCCTCTCTGTAAGAAATCAATAAAATATATATTTTTTAAAAGGTATGTGTGTACATATCTTACTATTACCCCACTCCTATACATGCCCTGATTCCCCACCACCACCACCACCACACACACACACACACACACACACACACACACACACACAGTGTTTTGCATTCATTGGTTATGCTTGTATGCATACAAGTTCTTCGGTTCATCTCTTATCTCCCCCACCTCTCCCTACCTTTCCTTTCTTACAGAGAGGAGTAAATGAGGCCATGGATATAAGCTGTTTACGCGGTGCCTGCTCAATTTTATTTCTTGCTGTTGCTACAAGTGTGCGGTTAAGTCCGACCTGTGTGCTTCAGTGGTTGAGCGTGGACTTATGAACCAAGAGGTCATGGTTGAATTCCCCATCAAGGCACATGCCCAGGTTGCAAGTTCGATCCCCAATAGAGGGTGTGCAGGTGGCAACTTATCAATAATTCTCATCTTTGATGTTTCTCTCTATTCCTCTCCCTCCTCTCTGAAATCAATAAAAAAAGGGGGTTTTTTTGTTTGTTTTTTTTATATTTTATTGATTTTTTACAGAGAGGAAGAGAGAGAGATAGAGAGCTAGAAACGTCTATGAGAGAGAAACATCGACCAGCTGCCTCCTGCACACCCTCTACTGGGGATGTGCCTGCAACCAATGTACATGCCCTTGACCGGAATCGAACCTGGGACCTTTCAGTCCGCAGACCGATGCTCTACCGCTGAGCCAAACCGGTTTTGGAAAAAAAAAAAAAAAAAAAGTTTTAAGTGTGCAGGTAGATATATATATATATATATATATATATATATATATATATATATATATATATAGCGTGTAAGTCCACTTCTCAAATGATGACCACAACACTCCTTGAGGGTAACCTACCTGCTGCTGGCCACTTCAACAACCGTATTTCCAGGCCACCCTTCCTGACTCCTTCTGAATCACTTACTGCCTTGGCTTCCAGATCTGCCTCTGGCCCCTTGGGCAGCATGAGTGGAAGAAGGCGTGGGCCATGTGGGCGTTGGCTGGAATCTACCAGATAGTGACCTGCCTTCCTATTCTCCACCAGAAAGGAGCAGCGAGGGCAGTGGCTTGTTACTCATCATTGTATCCAAGAACCTGACAACATTCCTAACATATAATGAGAAGGCAGTTCCCTTGAATGAATAGAGTTTATCTGGAGCAGAGGCCAAATTGCTGTCTATATAAGGCCCAACCATTTTTCCCTCCAGCCCCAAAACTCTTCTTCCAGAAAGAGGGTTAAAATTATTTTGTTTCTCAAGATCCCTCTTGTGTTTTTTTTCATAGTTTCATTAAGGAAGAATTGATATGCAACAAACTGTACATACTTAAAATATACGATTTTATGTTTTGACAGATGTATACATCTGTGGCAATAAAAACTAATCTATTTTTAACTATTATTATTTATGCAGGTGGCACTAGAGGTAAAGGTAATACATACTCATTGTGGAAAATTTTAAATGCACAAAGAATAAAATAAGAAGCAAAGACATACTTTAATTCTACCATCCAGATATAAACATTGGTAAGATTGTATTGTATTTCCAAACAGAACTTTTTGGCTGTGGATGACTTTTATTTACGTGGATTAAAGTATATGAATATAAAGGTTTGCACCCTACACATTTCATATTCCCATACCATTAGCAACGGTTGCCTTAAAACGTGAAATATTTAAATTACATAGAACTTTTCTCAACTTTAGATAAAACATTGATAAATATCTCTACAAATTTTTTTCCATATATTTGATTATTTCCTTAAGGAAAGTACCAGAAGCAAATTTGGGTCAGAGGGCTTAAATCTGTTTCCTTTTTTTTGCTATTTTCAAAATAGAAAAACCTTTACTGTTTTCTCACATTAAAAGATAGTATATCCTTGTTGTAAATTAATTCAAGTAATATAGAAATGGTAAACTAGAAACCTGTCTGAATTCTGCCTTCCCTCTACCCAACTTCAGTCCCAACCTAACCACTGTGAAAGTTAAGCCTATGAGCAAGAGGGAATTTTGGGGAGTTAGAAAAAAAAAAAAAAAAAAAAAAAAAAAAAAAAAAAAACTTCTAAAAGTATATTGTAGTAATGATTACACAACTGTGTACATTTAAAAAATACTTCTAAAAATGTATGCATAAATAAATAAATAAATAATGTATGCATAGAAAAAAATCTGGTTAAAACTCTCTCTTTCTACATATATATCTTACTTTTTTTTAAGTATATTTTTTATTGATTTTTAAATAGAGAGGAAGGTAAAAGAAGAGAGAGATAGAAACATAGAATGGCTTCCCCCTTCTGGGTTTTGCGCTGCTCCGCAATCTAACCAGGGACCTCTTGGTCCACAGGACAACACTGAGGCAGACCCGCTGGGCTATGCATATATTTTTTAAATATAAAAATGGTGTCCAAAAAAATGTTGTCAAATATGGATCATGGATATCTTTCCATACCAGTAGAAATAGATCTAGCCAATCATTTTTAATAAGTGCATGGAGTCCCAGCGTACAACTCAACCACATTTTTTAAAAATTGATTTTGTACAGAGAGGAAGGGAGAGAGATAGAGAGAAACATTGATGAGAGAGTCATTGATCAGCTGCCTCTTGCACACCCCCTACTGGGGATATGCCCGCAACCAAGGTACATGCCCTTGACCGGAATCCAACCCAGAACCCTTCAGTCCCCAAGCCGAAGCTCTATCCATTGAGCCAAACCGGTCTCGGCTCAACCACATTTTATTTTTTTTTTTTAAATATATTTTATTAATTCTTTTTACAGAGAGGAAAGGAGAGAGACAGAGAGCTAGAAACGTCTATGAGAGAAACATCGACCAGCTGCCTCTTGCACACCCCCCACCGGGGGGATGTACCCGCAACCAAAGTACATGCCCCTGACCGGAATCGAACCTGGGACCCCTCAGTCCGCAGACCAACGCTCTACCGCTGAGCCAAACCGGTTTTGGCTCAACCACATTTTATTTAAACATTTCTTTATTGGTAGGCATTTAGGTGGTTTCCAATTTTTTTTTTATCATAAACAACACTGCAGTGAGCATGCATATACAAGCATCTTTGTGTTTTTGTCTGAGTGTTTTTCCTTAAGATAAAATACCAGAAGTGGAGTTACTGAGTCAAAGATCATTTTCAGAATTTTTTCCCTGTATTGCCAAATTGTCCAGTAGAAAGATTGTACTAATTTATATTCCAACTAGCAATATGTGAGAGTGCCAGTCTCACCACACCCTCAATAGCATCAAGGTATTATCTCATCTTTTTAATCTTTGTCAAGCTGATAGAACAAATAACCTCTCATTTACAATTCTCTGATTATTAATGATGTAACACTTTTTTCATGTGCATATTGGCCACTTTATCTTATTTCATGAATTGCCTCATCATGTCAAATAATAATATCAAATGGCTTTGTTAATATTGTGTAAATGAGGCAATCAAGTATAACATACTTTGGTGAAATGAAGAGGGAGTTAATAGGAGTTTATACATTTTTTTTCATGAAGTTATAGCCACAAAAATTATTTAATAATACCAGTGAGATGTCATTTAGAAAGATTCAGATTTTCCCAGTAATGACCTTGATAGCTAGATGTTTGTGTTATTTGTAAACCATAGTTTGGCTTCC